GATTAGTATGATTAACGTTTAAACATTTTGTTACATTATTTAACTCATTAAAAAGTTTGCTTTAAAAGTTAATCATTTTGCATTATTAGATAATGATTCAGAGGAAAATATGATAATACTTGCTTGAGATTTCTTGTTTCCTCATTTGAATTTTTTTATTTTTATGGGTACATATTTTAAAACATATTAGTTTCTACTATATCGAAGAAGTCTGAAATACTTTTACCACATTGTGATTATTGAATCATGAATGAAGCGTCTTATGTAGGAAATATAAGATTTTTTCAATACTTCTATAAATTGTGATTTTGATGTTGATTTTTTGAAAACACTATTGTAAGTAAAGTTATGACACTTAGAAGAGTTTAAATTTAATTTGAGTTTATTATCGTAAATATATTTTTTATGTTCAAGTATCTAAATTTATGCATGGGAGACAAATATTGCAAAAATACCAGCGAATAAAAAAAAACAAACGTTTCACAACGAGTTGATATGATAATATAGTAATTTATTTGCTCATGTGTTTTCAAGCCGCGATTCTTGGGAAAAAAGTCATGGTGACTTCAACTTTGATTAGTTACGTTATATCATAAATGAATTTGTACGTGTACAATGAGTATGACATTGAGGTTAACTTACTGATGCAAGTTATATATCTTATAAATTTAAAAATTAAAGATTTAGGGACAAGGAATACAGGGCATGACCCGGTATAGTGTCTAGTGAATTACCTGAGCTTTAAAGTTAATTAATAGCTAATTTTAAAAAGAACGTTATGTGAGTAAATATATCTTATAATATATTATAATGTCAATAAAATAATATTGTACAGTTGTAAAGTAATAAAATTAGAATCTTGTTGTTTAATTTTGAAAAAAAATTGTAGTTTTTATCACTAGAATAACAATAGTATAAATGACGCGTTTTTATGATTGAAATTTTGTCAGTTGTAACAGGAAAAATAATTTAGTCAATTACTGTTATTGATAATTTTGACTGATATTAAAGTATTAACGTCTAAAAATAATTTTTAATTGGTACAAATATTTTCTTTATAATCACACAAAATATTCCAATATATCTTTTATTATGTAATTGAGTAATTAGAACTTATAAAAAATTTTATACATTAAACATTTTTTTCTTCAAATTAAGTATAATTTTTTTAAATAAAAAAATATGAATAAATAATAAAAGTTAAATATAAATTTATAAATAAAATTTTATATTGAATGAATATTTTGATAATTGTACATTATTACGAGGCTAAAGGAAGTGAAATCATAATTGAGATATGAAAAATTATCAGTATTTTATTCTTAGAAATATATATTTTAGTATTTATTTTTTTTTTTTGTGTGTAAACATTTATTTTGCTCCTTTAAAGTTAAAAGAATATTTCAGTGTTTTCGTGTTAAGTAGTATTGGTCATGGTGTCTGTTAAAAAGTTAATTAGGGTACTACTGTGCATTCTAAGATTGTTAAAAAGAACGATCATTATTCGACGTTAAGTTACGACCGAGTTAAGGTTGGCGAGAAAGTAATTTGAATAATTGTTATTACTTTGTCTTATACGCAATTGTTATTTTCTGCAAATTTTACTTTAATATACTACGCAACAGAAACAGACAGAATACTACTTTAAATTATTTATTATTTAATTGCAAACAATTATGCAAAAGAATATGTTCTGAATTGTTAGAAGTATTTTTCCTAATTGAGTTGACTATGACTTAACAAATAGTATGACATAGGCGCAGTTTTGACAAAATTTTCGGGAAATCCAATTTTTCTCCGCTACTTATTTTTTTTTTATATATTTACAAGTAATTTTCATAATTGTTGGATAGTTATGATAGAATTTGCCTTCACTATACTCATTCAGATTGTATGGCAGGTAAATGAAAATTCTTTAAAAAAAAGCTAGTATTAATACAAAAATCTATTTTAACGCATCATACTCATATTTAACAGAAAATAAGTATCGCGTTCATAGGATAACCAATTTTAGTTTTAATTACTGATTACTAAGTCAAAATTTCTTATTATAAGTTCATTGAGCTTTCAAATAATAATAGCTCTTTATTATAAAAAATTCAAAGTTCACGTTTGTATGGCTAATATAAAACAATTAACAGTACAATTTATTATAAATTAAACAAGTAGCTCTTTACGTTATCTTCACTAAATTTTTACTTTCTATTTCATTATAAAATTGTTAATTTCATTAAATAGTTAATTTGAAGTTCTTATTTTGTTGTAAATAATGATCCAGTTTATTATTACTGTAATTCCTTTAGTTGTCATAACACGAGTTTGTTAGTGAAATCCAATTAATGTTCTGTTGAATATCCTAAAAAAATGCCATAACCAATTAAGAGCTGAGTTTGTCTATAGAAATAAATGTTTGTTCATTACATTACATTAGAAATATTATTTATCGCAAAAATTACTAAATGATTATAATCATTTTGTAGTTTTTGTTAGAGAAAAATAATAATTCATGCGGTAGTTTAATATAGCATTGTTTTTTTGGAAATCTGTCTGTTTCTCCTGAACAAAACTTTTTTCTCAAAGCAGTAACTCACAAATACTATTTAAAAAACAATTCACCTACAAATATGTAATTGTAATAACAAATATAATGTTGTCAATTTCAGATGACTTTCACCATTTCCTAGATGTTTGTTTATATGTTCCCATCGGATTTAGAGGTACATAAATGTAAAATTTGTGAATAAAAAGAAAACCTAAATCATTTGATAATGAAAATAAGTTTATTCTAATATTTATTTTTAAACGAATACATTTTTATTTGTTAGCAATATTTTTAAATTATCAACGAGAAACCCGATCGTTTTTACAATTGTCAGAGTTCGTACATAAAAATGCACGTCCTTAAGTTGAGTAACAATAGGCCGGAATGTTCCCATAGAGAAAAAAAATACACACTAAATAACGTATACCTGATGAACTAACTCTTTTAAATTCATACAGAGCGACCTTCTTCTCTGCCAAAAATATACACGGATTGGTCGTATGTTATTAATTTTTAACATTATTTTATACTGTTTTGTAGTTTATGTGATCAGTGCAAATGTTTATTGCTGCAATTTACGTAGTTTAGTGTAAACACGCACAATAACAACTTCAGAATTTTTCAAAATTAAAATGACAAGACGGACACAGCCTTGCGACATAAATCAATCCTCTGTAACTTCTACGGTCGTCGCAGTATTTAGGACTTCCATCAAAGTATTTTTTGTATTTACAATTCAGACAGCGGAAGTAAATTCATATATAAATTAACTATTGAAGCTGATAATATTAACTTGTGGTTGAGTGGTAGTTTATTTGGTAGCTTGAACGTGTGACCTTATACTACATGGATGACGTAGTGATAAAGTACTTTACTAAGACTAACTCCAGACGTGGAAATGTCCAAATCATGTATGCGAATGTAATACATAAATCGATGATAACGTTTAACTATAAAAAGTTAACGATAAAAGTATTGTAGGCCACATTATGAAATAAATTCTACTTACAATCCTCTTAAGAATTACACAATAAAAGCATTTTTGACCCAATGAGTTTACCTGCATTTTTACAAGATCCGTTGATCGCTGTAAATTACAATAATACAGCAACTGTCAGTAGTTACCAAAAGATGATTGTTAGGATAGAAAAATATTGAGGTAAATTAAAAAGCGAAACGGTATAATGTAATTAGGTGGTAATAATGTGTCGGGTCTAATTCAACTTGTTCGATGCACTTGATCGTAATAAAAAAAAACTACTTTGACTTGTATTTCCTTAATACTGGATATAGGTATAATACACAAAGATAGATAATTATACTTATTTGGAGAAGAATAATCAATTGCAAATTTAGTTTTTCCAGCTGAATTTCAGTAAACATAAATTAACTATTTGATAACTTGTAAGTTGAAACTCAAGGATATTTGGATCTACAAATACAATTAATTAAGATGGTGTTACAATAACTTAAACACTTTTATACAATAATGTATCAACTATACTTTTATTTAAAATTATAGAAAAAAAGTCATAAAGATGAAATGTTTTTAATAATAATACAAATATTTATGAATGCATTTTTTAAACATAACAACAAATACAATAATAACACTAGNACAAATACAATTAATTAAGATGGTGTTACAATAACTTAAACACTTTTATACAATAATGTATCAACTATACTTTTATTTAAAATGATAGAAAAAAAAGTCATAAAGATGAAATGTTTTTAATAATAATACAAATATTTATGAATGCATTTTTTAAACATAACAACAAGTACAATAATAACACTAAAAAGTATGATAATAAAAGCAATTGCTCTGTGTTTTGTAAAATAGTGAGTCAACGTTCGTTGTCTCATTTAGTTGTCCATGAATACAGATAATTGATATGAACTTGAGTTGTGAAGACAAATGAAAAAAATAATACTTATAATTTCAGAATTCGGTTGATCAATATCCGTAATAAGCTGTAGTATAGATCAATAACGTATGTATTCATAATCGATGGTCTATTGTATAGAGTAAAACGCTACTAGCACTAGGCAGATTGTTTAACGACAACAAAAGGTGCGGAATCGATGGACAATCCATTGTAAACGTTAAAATAATAAAAAAAAAATGTAAATAGACCAGGAAACCGGTTGGGGACGAATGATTGACAAGCTAATTGGGTAGAAATCTTCGAAATAAGCAAGTTGAATTTTTTCTTGTTTTTATTCAAAATTATAAAAAAAAAAAAAACTAGAAAATGTGGAAAAAATATTCACTTGTCAACCTAAAGTGCGACGAGTCGGTTCAAGGCAAACTTTCCGCAATCGTCCAGCACGCGCTGCGCATCGACAGTCCCCCACCCACCCACACCAACATCTTAAAAGTACAATGGAACGCGCCATAGGAGGAAGCCCTGTGGCGGCGGCGGCGTTCAAGTCTCCTTTTCGTTATCAACACGTTGTCCGAACTCATTAAACAGTCGCCGCATATATGCAACGCGTACGATTAGTCTGCCCGCAGTTTGACGTTCACTGTTCTAAGTGTTGACGGTGGAAATTTTCGTTCGTTCTCAGACATCGTTTACGGATGTGAACTATTGTCGTAGTTTGTTAGATTTATGAAACGCATCGTATTGTTTTTTCATTGAATATTAGTCAAGTATATACATTTCGAAGACACTTGTGAAACATTTTTTTTTTTTAATTTGCAGCCGTAATGACGATTCCGGTCGTTTGGGTGGCGTTGTTGGCCGCTGTCGCGCTGACGGCTGGTCAGAGGGATCGAGGCGATAACAAGTACATAGATCCTAACGATTTCTTTTTGGCTGATGATCCGCGAAATAGACAGGTACACGAGGCTTTCAACAGGTACGCTATTTTGCAGCAAGAGCAACAGCAGAGGGGTAGGTCGGGAATCGATAGTTTCTTGACGCAGCAACAGCAACAGCAATTGCAACTGCAACAGCAGCGCCAAGCCATCCAGGGCACGACTCGGGGCGGTCGGAAATTTAGTACTGAAACTCCCGAACAGAGCTTTGATACGACACCCGGCGGTAGGTTTTCGTCCAGGTTAGATTCGTCACCGAATCCTCTTCAGCAAGGACCTCTGATGTTATCCAACAGTAACTTGAGGCAGCTTTTACAACAACTCGACATTGCTGGCTCACAACAGTGCAATTTAAATGTTCAGGCTCAGTGGGATTTCGAAACCAACGTAAATGAAGCTACACAAATCAGAGCAGTAAGTTTTCCGAAACGTCCTTTTTACTGCTATACTTTCAAATTACTTAATATAGTTATATTACTTTATCTATACCGATTCGCATTAATATTTTATACAAATAATAATATTTTATATCCGATAGTTTTTTTTATTAATTTACTAGACACACAAAAAAAATTATAAAAAAAAAATGCGTCACTATACTTAAGTGCATTTATTCAGTCGTTTAAATGTATTTTGTAGTTATTTTCATTATTTTAAGTTTAAATGACTGAATAATAATTTTTTACTAAGAAAGTTTGTGTGGACAAATTTTAGCTTTAAAAATCAGTCTAAGTTATGAAAATATCACATTGGTTAGTAATGTGTGTCGTTTATTTTTATTATTTTTTCATTCAAATTATCATTGACATGAAATATAGTTGCTTGTACCGTAATTTGATACTTTAAAAACCAATTAACGAACCCGCAATTATAGATTTTAAACGCGTTTAACGAACGTTTGGGTAAATTCAATTTATTAATAGTTTTTAAGTTTTGATCACACAAAAATATTCATAAATAAAATTATTGTGTTAACATTAGATTGTACATTTTAAATAAACCTACTAACACTCGTCTATGAGCCTAGTTTGTAGTTGAACTGTTCGAAAAACTCTCACGGAACAATACAATCTCACGACCTATGATAATTTATGTAATCAAAATTTAAGGGTATATTATACAATTTTTATTAACTGTGGAACAGTGTTAATAGTTCAAAATATAAAAACTTCATTTTCCTCCGGACAAAATATTGTTTGTATTCTAATGACTATATAAACAACTAATCTTCAGATTCTCCGTACAGTAGCATTGGGGATAAACGGTCTGATGGTCGGCTTAATGCATCACGACTTGACGTTTTAAATGGAAAACCTACAGAAGGACTATTGGGACAAGGTTTGGAGATCTTAATCGTATGTCACTAAATCTTCTAGAACGCGCATAGATCATCTTCCGCAACCTTGTAGAAATGCAAAAGCATAACAATATTTTAATAATGTACATAGTAAAATCTAATGGTTTTAATTATTTTGCAACTTATCAGGAAATTTATGTCAAATGTTTATTGCAAAAAACATAAAAAATAAAAACCGCAACGTATTCAGAATTTTTAACTAGAAATACGTTGTTATTTAATTGTGTATATAAAATTAAACTATTTTTGTGCTAACTCAATGGTAAAATTTAATGGATATTGTTTCCATTATAAATATGAATCAGTTGGGAAGAACTTAAAAAATATTCCTCGTGTTCACATAATTCAGCAAAAAATACTATAATGAATAAGCATAGTGTTTACATTTGATTCAGCTATTTTAATACATGAACGAGTATGTACATTAAAACGTTTAATTATTTTACTTTTCCTATTATAACAAAAAAACAATAGTTTGCTAATTTGCTAAATATATCATTAATTTGAAAAAACAATGTTATACATTATAAACTAAGGTTGGTACGAGTAACAAGACCTAGCTAGACCTTATAAAAAGTCTAATACTTGACCTTATTACCCGCACCTACTTTACGTAGTTTATAACGTAACCAATAAAGTACTTTTTTGTTTTGTTAAAAAGTAAACTGATTTTTAAATTATTTTTAAATAATCTGTGAATTTTAATATTATTAATGAAAAAGTTAGTTTAACACAATGTAATCAAATTTAGCGACTTAAAGGCTATAAACAAATCTTATAGTTATCAAATGAGCTTTAAATACTCAAATATAGTGTTCATCAGTTAAAAAAAAATTGAATTTAAATTATAAATTTAAAATAAAAATTCAACTATGTTGGCTATTTTTCTAATTAATATTTATTTTATAGGTCCAATATAATGAATAATGTATTTTTTATTAATACCTACTAATATAATTAAACTTATTCCGTGATATTGTAGTGTTTACAAACATTGAAGTAAATTTAAATGTGCTTTTTGCCGTCTCTGAGAAGGTGTGACGTTTATTCATGGAATTTTTAGACATATTTTAGTTATGTCAATAACCATTAATTATATATTATATTAATTTTTATCTTCTATGTTACTATGACATGTAATTTTTCTAATTATAATAGTCAAACCTATTTCGAAATTGTAAGTAATAAAATTATAGGATTGGTTTATTTTACGGGCTAAATGTCATTCAAAGCTATTGATGCGTTTACTATTGTTGAAGGACAAGAATAGTTTCCGTATCGATGAGGTGTTAATAGTTACCTATAGTTATGTTTACAAATAAAAACTTGATAGACTTTTAGCAATTATTTAGAATATATTAGTTACAGCTCTGCTAAATAAATAATTTAATTTGATTTAATTAAGCGTAGGCAATATTTTTTTAGCCAAATAGTGTAAATTCGACGCACATACATAGATTAATTTAATACCTTCAACATTATTTGCATTAATTATGATTAAAGATTATTAAGTTCCTTCGTAACCAAGGAAAAAGGATTCTATTGTTCTCATTGTCTCCTTACTTCATGAACAATCTTTGTAAAAATGATATGTAAGTCAATAAAAAAACATATGAACAATGTACATTAGAAACTATCATTATTGAAATGATACCATAAAAGTATTTATTTTTTGGATGCGTTATTGGTAGACAAAATGTCTACCAAAAATGTCATACTACGTGTAGGATAAAATGCTAGATAAAGAAATGGGCAAGAAGGTCAACCATTTTCCAATAGAATTTTTATTTGTGCCATGTAATGTAATGTAACTAGAAAATCGACCACGTATTTATTTCTGTCCAACAAAATATGTTCTGCGGTTCCTCTATCATTGTCATAGTTTGTATTTCTATTATTGTTGTTATGACTTTTTTTTTGCTCTATCTATTGGCTAACAACAAGTTTACCACCAACAATTATACGTATTGTAATTGTTGGTATCGATGTGTTGCTGCTGAGTATATGCGCATGACTAACCAAATTGTGTCCTTGACATTGTCTCGTATGTATCAATTGAAGTGTAAATAAGAGCATTAAAACACGTTCAGCCAATATGACGGCGCGCCTGAGTCGCAACCATTTTTTACTGGTGTCCATACATAAACGAGGTTCGGATTTTTTTCTGTTTTAAAGGCGACAGTGTTTCTCAATAATAGTCCTTCAGCCCGAGGAAATCGTTTAGCCGTATTATGAGGTACAACGTAACGAGTACACGCGGTTAAATATTATCTTGCGATTATTTTGTCTGTACCTTCCAAACAATACACTCAGACGACACGGAAACCATTAGTTCTTTATCGTTTGTGCCATCCCTACAAGCGTTTGTATCCTCTGACCGTCTTTCTTTACGATTTCTTGTATTTTCAACGTATTTACCGTAAAAAGATATTACAAAACACCATTAACTCTTTTCTTATCATAGTCGATGCAAGCGGTTACGCAACTAAGTAAAATTAAACTTGACGAATCCGCTTAATCTGGCTCGTGCATTGTGTTTTTTTACTGACTTATATGTGAGCGTGAGACCAAAGGTTATTTTATTATGCGTATGTGAATCCATCGACGACACCGTCCCAAATCTCGCGGGAACCCTACGCGGCCTGTAACCTTGACGTCATTGCACGCGAAGACCATTGAATGGCGTTTGCTGTCAGAGAAAAATGTTCATGGCGAGTAATTTTCTTTCAACAACCACTAAAACTATTATGTTGTGGACGACTTACGATCGAAATAGGTACTCTAAAATAATACACGAAGGAATCAGATTTTTGGTATTCTAGAGAACCCGTTTAAAGAGCAGGAAAACAATTTTTTTCATTCACTTTAACTAGCGACTATTAAAAACAATTTTTTTATATTCTTGTTATAAAATGCAAGTAATCGCTTATGGCATTAATTTTGCACGGTCGATAACGCTCGAGTTGTTTTTGTCTAATCATTACTAAAAGCATTATTTTATTCGCCACTGTAATTATTATTTTATATGCCTTGTTAATAATAGTTTAAGACAGTTTTTTGTTTATTTTGAGCAAATTGAAACTTTAAAATGTTTAAATAAAATATTTGGAAATGTAGTTTGTTATATCCAAAAGATTAAATATTTTCGCCTTGATAAAGTAAATAAATAATTCATAAGCTCTGCGAAAAAAAATTTTGCTACCTAAATAATTGTGTTTTGTGGAATAATCTTAATTTTTACTTAATTTTTATATTAAACAAAGAGTAATCTAAAACAATCATGCCCATTGTTCTTGATACTAATACATTCCTTCAAAAAAAACTACAATTATAAAAAAATTTTGAAATGTATCTATATTATATAAAAATTTATTTCTGTGCCGTGTATTCAAAATCTGATAAGTAATAAAATTCGGTTTTAGAATAATTGAGGATCTATATAAAATGGGTTTTATCTATCATTTATTAAAAAATTGAATATCTAATTTATTAGTTAGATTTATTTTTTGTACCTTAAAAATGTCGATTTGTATCAGATGCTATTGAAATTTTTGATTTGTTATTGCTATCCTGAAAAATATTTAAAGTTGATATATGAGTTTTTGGCAAATAATCACAGAAATACTTTGATAATTGAGTTTTAAATATTTTTAATTAATAGTTTATAATTATCATTCGAATTTTATTATGTAAATCACTAAGGCATTAAGATTAGGCAAAACTTCTAACTTCCATGTCAAAAAAATCATTTACATACTAATTAGATTTAATAAAAATATTATTAAATTAAATTTGTCCTCATATTAAATATTTATAAACTAAATATCATGTAAACTAAAAAATCAATTTCCACGTTTAAAAACAAGACACTTTTAACAAAACATAAAATATAAAGTTATAAGCTTAAATGAGTAATAATTATTTTTGTTTAATAGTTGGAACAACAGCTGTTGTATTCAGAATTTCAAAGAAAAGTACATTCGATCATGAATAGATTGACTACGGACAACATTATTGATCCTAACCTGAGACGGCAGTTGAAGTATTTGTCCATGCCTGGACCATCCGCTTTGTCACCTGAACAATTGAGTCGGGTAAATGAACTTTTTAAAACGTTTAGAAATTAGCAGTAACTACTATTTGCGTAAAAAGCTAAAATTAAAAACAGCAAAATGGCCCCTTATTTTGGTACACAAATGAACGCATTATTAAAGTAATGCGTACTTGTATATTCTAGCCACGTCGTTTCGTTTGAATACATCGTGTGCTTTGTATCTTTGTGTGCCATTCGGATTTTTAAATGTTGAAAATACACAAAAACTAGTCACCATTAATCACGTTCCGTGTAATCATTCTTGCCTAATATTATTAGGCATAATGGACCATAACTGTTTTTGTTTTTTTTTCTTTTACAGTATAACCGTCTCATAAACGACATGTTAGCTGTTTACAACAGCGCCTCCGTTTGCGCATACGATGAGCCGCTCCGGTGTGGACTTAGATTAGATCCAGGCAAGTATTTGTACACTAATATGAATTATTCAATTGAAATAACTTTTAAGTTAAACAATAAGCATCATGTCCATTTTTGCATACAAAAATTGAAATAAAAATTACGAGAATAAAAAAAAAACATTTTTCAAAAATCATAATTAAATAAATGTAAGTGTTCGGCGTTGATAATGGAAATATTATTCCCGAAATAAGTATCCACAAATTTTAGTAACTTTTTGAGTTTAATAATTTTATTATTTTTAGTTTTAAATTAATATTATAATATGATTTTAATTTTAAAGAATATTAGTCACAAGTGATCAATTTTTATTATAAAATATATGAACTAAGTGTACATTTCAAATCGATATTAGGAAAACAAGTAATACGAATTCTAAATTGGATGAAAATAGAAACAACTGAATGTATTAAAAGCGCTTAATTGATTTAAATAATACAATTTTCGTTTATTTTTTGTTCAGATTTGAACTTAATAATGTCCCGAAGCCGAGACTGGAATGAGTTACAGCACACGTGGATTGAGTGGAGGAGAAGAACTGGGCAAAAAATTAGAGATATGTTTGAACAGTTAGTAGATGTTTCTAACCAGGCTGCATCGGTAAACAGTAAGTAAATTAATATTATTACAAATTTAGGTTAGCACCGCAAATCACATAAAATGCAACTAAATTAGCATATCTGTCAAATGTTGGTATTTATAAAGAAATTCCATTATAACTTACTGAAACTAATTTTACAGCATTTTTTTATTTTACTGTTCCATTATTTATTTAAAATTAGTTTAAAAAATAATCCTTTTTCTTCATATTTGCGTGTACAGATGTATCAGACGCTGCTGAAATGTGGAAGTTTCCATATGAATCAGCATCTCTCAGATTTGAATTAGAAGATGCTTGGGAACAAATCAAGCCTCTGTATGAACAACTTCATGCGTACGTTAGGAAGAAGTTGCGTGATCTCTATGGACCAGAAAGAATAAGTCGTGAAGCTCCTTTACCTGCACACGTCTTAGGTATGTTAATCATATTATTTATGAGCTTTTTCAATGACGTTTAATACTACAATTGATATTTAATTATTTTAGGAAACATGTGGGGACAATCTTGGGAAAATATTTTGGACCTTACTATACCTTATCCTGGTAAAAATTATTTAGATGTTACACCACAGATGATCAAACAGGTATAAATAAATCTATATCAGCATCATAGCATTAATTTTATGAAAAATATTTTTTGTGATAGGGCTATACGCCAGCAGCCATGTTCAGGGTAGCTGAAGAATTCTTTATTTCTTTGAACATGTCTGCAATGCCTCAATCATTTTGGGGTAATTCAGTTTTTGAAGAGCTTCCAGGTCAACCAATTATTTGTCAACCTTCTGCGTGGGATTTTTGTAACAGACAAGACTATAGGTAATTGAAATCATATAACATGTACAAAGAGTATATATTAAAAAATTTACATTTACACATTTTATAATAAATATCATATTTAATAAGAAGTTTAAATATTAATTAATTTTTAGTTGTAAAGTTGTTTTCAATTCATTAATAAAAATATAATTAGAAAAAAATGTTGCTTTTAGAATAAAAATGTGTACTCAAGTAAATATGAAAGATTTTATAACTGTTCACCACGAGATGGCTCACGTTCAATATTTTTTGAATTACAAACATCAACCAAAAGTTTATCGCGATGGAGCTAATCCAGGTTATTATAACATAATTATGAATTTTATAAAATTAATATTCAATATTCTTTAATACAGGTTTTCACGAAGCTATTAGTGAGGCCATATCTTTGTCAGTTTCAACGCCAAAACATTTACAGACTTTGGGTTTAATATTAAATTCAGTTGATGACATTCCACATAACATTAACTATTTATTTGGACTTGCAATGGATAAGTTGACATTTTTGCCATTTAGCTTGGCATTAGACTTATGGAGGTGGGATATTTTCAGAGGAGCAACTCATAAGGAAAGATATAACTGCCATTGGTGGGATTTACGGTAAATATTTGCCACTATTAATTGTAGAACATTTAATTGAATCAGTGTGTTGTGATTGAGTTAAATACTATAGACATTGATCATCATTAATATTTCTATAAGCAATTACTCTAATGCTGCTTTAGCATATATATATACAGAGTGTTCAATAAATAAAGAAACAGGTTAATTACTACAATCAATAAGAACAAAAGAAATCCAATTCCTTACTTACTGATTATTATATGTATAATTGACAAACTATTTAATTAATTTGTTTTTTTACTAATACGAGAAAAGTTGCCAATCTGAATAAACAATTATATATTTGTTAATAAACTTTAACCAATCACTTTATTTCCTATTAGATGTCTTTTTAAACAAAAACCAAATAATAATTGATTTGAAGTGTAATTTTTAAAATTTTAAATTACTCAATACCAGGTATTTTATATTTCTTTGTTTTACTCCTTGACTATTGCATTATAGTTTCAAGGCAAAAAGTTGGATTATGTCAAATTACAAAAATATTGTACAAATGTTATGTGACGTTGGGAAACTTCAATTTTCACACGCAAAAATTAATGATTTAGTAAAATTACTTATTTTTCACATACGTTTCCAAGGTTATCTCTTTTATTAACCCGTATCCGTTGAGTATTATAGAGCATTATTTATAAACATTAATTAATATTAATAGGTAATAAATATACTTTTGAATTAAAAGTTAAATATCATCAAAAATACATCATGACTAATCAAGGATAAATTTGCATCATTAATTGCATGAAATGCTTTACATCAAAAATAATTTTTTATCTATGTTTAAATCTTAAAATAATAAAAAAATATTTGATATAATACATTTTACAGAAGTTAGTTTTTAATTATTAAAGTATTAGCAGATTATAAATTTAAAATTTTGTTACCAGAATTTCTTCTTCTAAATTAGTAAATATTATTCACTAAATATTCTTTAAAGGGTTCTATGTGCTTTATTCTTAACTATATATATATAAAATTATATAAACAGTAATGAAAAAATCATAAAAAGTGTGATCACTTTTTGAAAAAAAAATTACATGTTGAAGTATATACAGAGTGATTCATAATTTATTTATTATTTTTTTAATCGCCAAATAAACAGGATTTTTAGTGTTCATATAATAAATCATAAAAAAAAATCTGGCAGTTTATTAAGTTTACCTTAGATAATGCATATTATTTTTTATTGTATTATTAATAATCATTGATAATCAGAACTCGGAGATTTATATTACTAATATTCATCTAATTAAGTGCTTTAAATATCCCTTATAAACACTTTATTAAGCATTAATAAATAAAAAAAAATCATCAAGAAAAAGACCTTAATTTAACAATATTTTTTTTAATTTCCAAAATTTGTTTTACATGATAAAAACTACTTATTATTGTAATATTATAGTTTTATATTACTCACATAATATAGTATATTACTGTAGAACTCAAATTTTTTAATTTCAAAATTTTAAGTCGAATATTGATAGCGTGGATGTCATAATCAAACTATTGTGATATACTAGTCATAATGTTTGACTAAAAGTTTAATAACAAAAGCCATTTTTTGTTTTTTTAGGGTATTTTCGGTCAAAATACTAAAAACATGTTGAGTGACCAGTAAAATTTTTGTTAAATATCTCAAATCTTCACAAAACGTCTATTTTAATGTATTTAATAAAGTTAAAATGGTTCTCATTAAAATTTTGAAGATAGACTTTTTTTATCAACTCTAATCTATATAAATCATTTAAATATTAACATTTATAAAAATAATAATACAAAATAATAATTTACTGTTTATTTAGAAATCAGGGAGAAATAGGGAACCAATTACATTGTTTAGGTTACGAAGTTACGACTATATTATTATTTTTAGAACAATATCAAAAAATTAAATATTCAGCAATAGTTACTTTTAATATTTTTTATTTTAATAGCAAATAAAATTTATCAATAATAATCATTTATCTTGTAGTGAACGTTTAAGTGGAGTGAAACCACCAGTGCTAAGATCTGAAACGGATTTTGATCCAGGATCCAAATACCATGTGCCCGCTAATATTCCGTACATTGGGTAAGTACTCAAAGCAAATACATACATTACAATAACCTACTTAAATATTAGTAACATAAAATATGATCGGCTTTTCTAAAGATTCCGCACAATAAACTCCGTTTACCCGAAATATTTTTCTTTACGAATACTATTATAATAGCAATAACGGACATAATGATGGGTAAAGAATCTAATGATATTATTCTTATAAATGAAGAGTACAATATCATAGCTGTTTTGTCATCGTGTGTCCAATGCAATTACTCAGACTTATGAGTGCGACACGTTTCGGTTTCTTCTTCTGACGCGTCGATATTGCGGGCCGCCGTTATTACAATATAAAATAAAGGCGGACGTACAGAAACGAAAGTGGATTTCAGTTTTGTTTTCAAATATTTTATAACAACCGGAGTAATCAGTAATTGCTTTTGGCGTTCTCCATTATCAAAACGGCTGTATAAATCTCGGCAAATATTACAAATATTCGAGGATTGCGTACGCGGATTGACAAATAGATAATAGGGTTATTTTTTCACGCTATGTGCGCTGTTAACTGAGATTATTATTGAATAGTTAATTTTGTTTACACTTTTTAGTCTTTAAGTATGTTAAATTTTATTTATGTCTTGTGCAATTCTCTGAAATTTTATTAGAATTAATTATGAAATAATCTGGGTAATAAAGTAATAATAAAGAAAACATATAGAAAAAAAATATATTAATTATTATAATCATTAAAATATACATTTTTTAAACAATAGTAAGTAACCAAGAGGGCCAAGAATAAAAACAGTATAATAAGTTGTTTCTATATTAATTTGTACGTTATACAAAAATAGAAATATTAATATTACTAAAAGTTACATTGTATAATATATTTCAAGATTCGAATTAAATATTATATAATACTAATATTTATTGTCGCATCCAAGGCGAATTGGGTTGTACAAAATGGCAGCAAATCACTTACGGTTGATACGCGAAACGATAGTATTTATTTCTAATGGTATTGGTAAAATGATATAGTTACATCCTTAACACATTACCCACGTCTTCTAAAATGTCGTTCATTCTTTCCTTTGCGTTCGCCAAAATTTTGTTGATCTCGTAAAGCGTCATTTTGACCATTTACTCCAAACGCATTGTTAAATGCTTGGTCGAAATTATCCACTTGATAACCATCGCTTGTGTATCCTAAGTTATTTTGATGTTGCCCTTCGTGTTGATTTTGCTGTTGTTGTCCTTGCGCGTGTCCATGACCGGGAAATCTGACATCGATCGGATATGGAACTTTTACCGGTACCTTTACAGGATATGGTACAGGTTTTTCGATGTGCACTGGGTATGCTCTATACACGTGTATGGGGTACGGCCGATCTACAGGTACCTTTATTGGATAAGGAATTTTTTTTTCAACTGGGTACGGGAACGGTTTCTCAACTGGTATGTGTACAGGTACTGGCCGATCTATTGGTATTTTCACCGGATACGGAACTGGTTTGTCAACAGCAATAGGTACTTTCTTTTCGATGTAAACTGGATAAGGTTTTGGGATGTGAACAGGAATAGGCCGATCGACGTTTACTCTAACTGGAAATGGTACGTGCTTTTCGACCGTAACTGGATAGGGTTGTGGCACATGTACCCTGACAGGATACGGAACTTGTTTTTCGATGTGTACAGGATAAGGCTTATGAACAGGGTAAGGAATCGGTTTTTCGTAAGGCACTCTGACTGGATAAAGTACTTTTTTTTCAACATGAACGGGATAAGGTACAGGAATTTCTTTTGTTATGTATACCGTCTTGACGTGTTCTTCGTGGCTGCCTCCATGACCACCTCCTTCAGTTTCATGACCTCCACTTCCACTACCACCTCCACTGTATCCTTCGAATTCGCGAAGAAAACTATACCCGTCTCCTCCGTTACCACCGTCATCATGATTTCCAAAACCACTAACCCCAGAATTATCATCTGATGTTCCTCCGACAGTGTTACCTCCTCCATTAAAATGGCTTCCCATCCAGCCGTGATTTTGTGGTTGGTTGGTTCCTTGTTTTAATGGAGATACATGATTTTCGCCGACACCGATAGTTCCATGGTGAATTTGTGTAAAATGTGAAGTATGGCCAGTATTTCCAATGCCCACAGTTGGTACCTGATGATCTTTATTGTTTTCAAAGTTGAAATTACCAAATTGATCAGTTGTTTCTCCATTCGTCAATTGACTACTTGAACTGTCCGCCGTGTTACCATGTATAAACGGAAAATCCGGGAATTCGGTACCGTCTGGAGCTGAAAATGCACCTCTTCCTTTATTCATATTACCATATCCCAAAGTGTTATCCAAACCACGTTTATCTGTTTTTTTGGATTCATTATAAACCAGAGAATCTTTTGATGACTTTTCTATTGGTTTCTTATCAGGTGAAGAAGAATTATTTTCTGCTGACGCTTGAGTCAACAACAACGTCAGGAATAGCCATTTTTGTTTCTAAAAAAATGAAATAAATATAATACATACGAATAAAATATTCTGTAACTATAATATTAAATACATAAATACAAGTGTTTAATTAATAGTCATAATACGTAAATTAATTTATCTGAATATATCGCTTTACTTAATGTATATATATTTACATTATTCAGTCAAAATAAAAAAACTAATAAAAAATTATTATTGTCGATAGTTTACGATTACGAAATAATCTAATTGTGTGACTTGTTCATCTTATTCCCCGTTGATTATTTATTAAAGAAATATTTTATTAACGATAGCCTTTTATCTATTTAAATACGTTTTGTTTTGCCCGCGATCACTAAAATATTTATCAATGTCCTCTACTTTCCCACTTAAATCAAAATAGAGTACTCTTATCAACCAATTACACGCGTATAATTTATGTATACATAACTATAGACTTATATAGAGCTCTTTAATAACTAAAATTTTCATACTAATTTTAAATAATAAAATTGTATTAAAAAAGTACGTCTGACCGACCAATTATTATTATAAAATTTTTAATTATATATTTGTTCTATTGTTAAGAAAGTATAACAATATTATCTTTTAATATATTAGGGCGTTAACTTATAAATTATTTCATTAAATGCTTCAATATATTGAATTATTACATTAAAATATTAATTATTCATTTATTAGGATTTGTATGTAAATTCTTGACTGACTTGAAAACGAAAAAAAGTGCGTTTACTTTGAGTCATGTAAACTATATTCAAGTGTAAAATTAAGTAAAAATTCATTTTTGAATTGTCGAATGACTTTTATTAATATTATTATCATTTTTAAACTTATTATTAGCTAATATTAGTCCTAGTTAAATTTTAAAAAAGAGTTGTTATTTTACTTAATATAGTAATCATGAAACTATATAACCTTGGGTAGGATTTACATAAGAAAGTTTTTCACTTACTCTCCAAAAAGTGAAAAAAAATGTATATCTTGACTATATAATTATTTTTGTCGTGAGGGTTATGACACCCATTCAACCCTATAAATACGCTAGTGGCAAGTCAACTGGGACATTTATTGTCCCACATTTAGTTATTTATGTTTTTTTACTCATCATTTTTTGTTGAGACTTTTTTTTCTTTGCCTTTTTCAAAACCAAAAGAACACAAAATACTTTTATGAAAAAAATCAAATTCAACGTCAAAAAAAGGGAAAAAAAAAGAATTAATTATAACTCTAAATACTAAAAAGATAAAATAAATTATTTGGTTATAAAATTCATTTAGAATGTTCTTAGTAATTTAGTATGGATATGAACCTCAAAATTATTTTTTCTGACCAAAATAAGAAATGTTTAATGTTTGATAAACAAACACTAAAAATTCAAAAAATCTTCAATACATTTATATAGATAATATGATGTTTTGTATTCATTAAACTAATGTAATATTAAATTTTTAGAAATCTTTATATAAGGGTGTTTTAGTAATATTTTTAAGTTAAAATTAAAAAACATAAATGATATCGTTAATACTCGAAAAGTGGTAGTCACTACAAAACACTGTGCATTTTAGCAGTTATTCAATATACCATAAAAAACATTTTCAAAAACCCATATAACAATTAGATTATTTTTAAAATAAGTATTGTTTTTGAAATTTTTTGACGCACTTATAAAACGTATTCACTTATTAAGTTATATTTTAATCAAATTTTCTTTGAAGGGTATATTGTTTAAATATTTCATAAACGCTTTGATGTGAAAATGAAAATATATTTTTAGCATCTAGAGCTACCTAGTTTTTTCTTTCAAAATCAATTTTCATATTATTATTCGATGAAAAATAAATAAATAATAAAACTACATATTTACACTAAACATTTTATTTTTAATTTGTTTTATAACATATTAACCTTACCTCCATCGAGAAACAACGTAGTGATTGAGTATTTTTTCAGTAAACTTGATAGATTTATATTATTAAAATATTTTTACTGTACTTTGTTAAAACTAAAATGTACTACAACATTGTTTATGTGCTATCTGTGAGGAACGCGAACTAAAACTGTCTAAAAAAATCTACTTTCCATGGACGTCTAATTATGTTTAATGTACATACTATTTGTGGTATACTTACTACTATTTTTCTAAATATATAAAAAATTATATTGTGTATCTATTCTCCTACCAGATGACAAAATTGACATTCTCTAGTATTAAAATCTTATTGGTCTATTTTTAGATGGTTGGTATGGGTAATTTAATAATAACTTTTCTCTCTCTTTTTCATTTCCTACCAAGAAAATAAAATACATATTTTCATTTCCATATCATCACACAATTCATAATTCATCTACTTAAATGTAAAAAAAAATTACATTAATTAATTAAGTGTAAATTAATATATTAAAAAAATTTACTTTTTTACTTAAATTGAGAATTAAAAAATAGATATTTTTACATAAGTCTGTGGTGTTTAAGAATTATAAAAAAATAGTTTTTGGAAAAAAATTGTTTATTTATGTTCTGCGCTGTTAACAGAAACTTCATCAGATGAGTTTTCAACCTTTTGTCCTTCATCGGATTTAACTGATCCTCCGATGTTTACAGTCTCTTGGTTATTTGAGAGATTTACATCAGTGTTGTCGTTTACTCCATTAAAATTAGCTAAAGAAGCTGGGGTAGATGATCCCAAGAATGGGAAAGGCGTGGAGGAACCAAAATCAGCAAAAGGAGCTGGGGTAGATGAGCCCAAGAATGGGATAGGTGTAGAGGAACCGAATAGAGCTTGTGATCCGATTAAGCTATTCTTTTGTACTCCGTTCAATCCAAATAAACCGGAGTTGTGAAGACCGGAACTATAAAATGAAGTACCTGGTGCAATTGCTTTATATCCGGCTAAACCTGAGTTGTAAAGGCCAGAACCGTAAAATGAAGCACCTGGTGCAATTGTTTTGTATCCGGCTAATCCGTAGTTAACGCCTTCAATAGTACCTAAAACGGCTGGATCTTGTTGGTAGTAGTGAACGGTGGCAAAACGCTGAACTGGGGCTTGAACAGGCACAGGTACCTTAACTTCAACTGGAACTGAAACTGGGTATGGCACTTTCTTTTCTACTGCATAAGGTACTGGCCTGTCAACTGCATATGGAACTTTAACTTCTACTGGAACTGGAACTTTGACTGGGACTTCATATTTAACTGGGTATGGAACAGCTTTTTCGACTGGGTATGGCACTGGTTTGTCTACTGGGTATGGTACAAGTTTTTCTACTGGATATGGCACGCGTTTTTCGACTGGAACTGGGTATGGTACTGGTTTTTCTACTGGGTATGGTCTGTCAACATTTACACGTACTGGGTATGGCACGGGTTTCTCAACGGCATAAGGAACTGGTTTTTCAACTGGAACGTGAACGGGGTATGGTCTGTCAACTGGGACTTTGACTTCATATGGTACTGGTTTTTCAACTGGGTATGGCACTCTCTTTTCAATTTCTACTGGATATGGTTGTGGAACGTGGATTGGACGATCTACATTGACTTTAACGGCGTATGGAACGTGTTTTTCAATAGTTACTGGGTAAGGGTGTGGTACGCGGATAAGTACGGGGTATGGTACTTTCTTTTCAACTTGGACATAGTATGGCACTGGTACTTCTTTGGTTATGTGTACTTCGTGGTGTGGAGCTGGAGCATGAGCAACAACGGCAGCAGCATTGACTTCAACAGCTTCTTCGGATTTAACAATGGCAGCCTGGTCAATAGCCAAAGCGGGAACAGCAGTAGTTGAAACGAAAGCTGGTGCAATTGTAGAAGAACCAATAAATGATGGGCCATAAGATCCACCATACAAATGACTGTATGATGTAGCAAAAGCTGGTGACCTGTTCAACAAAACTGGTTCTGGTGTGGAAGAGCTAATGAAGGAACCAGGGAAAATTGGTGCTGGGGTGCTGGATACCAAAGCTGGAGCAGCAGTAGTGCTGACAAAGGCTTCATCGTGAAGAAGAGGAGCAGCGGTAGTTGAGACTACACTGTTGTAAGCTAATGGTGCAGCAGTTGTTGAGTAAGAGCTGAAGAATGGGGCTGAAGGTGGTGGAACGGCTAATCTTGTTCCGAATGCGAATGCACCAGCATTAGATAAAGGGAAGGCAGAATCAAAACTTCTAGTTTTTACGTCTTTGCGTTCTGCAGAATTATTGTTGTCAGATACTTGAACATCCGCTAAAACGGACGAGATGACTAGGAGACCTAGAAAAGCTGATTTTATCTAAAAATTAAAAAAAAAATCTTTAAGAAACTGTTAAAAAATAAAAATACTTTAATATTATAAATACATACATAATAATCAAGGGATTATCAAGGGATACTAACCGGTAGTTATCTACCAGTTGGCAGCTTTTTTACGACGTCGCTGTTCACAGACACGCAGAATTTTTTGTAAATTATAACTTTATTGAAAGATATGCTTAAAGTACAGTAATTTATAAGGAACAATATAGTGAATGACCATTTATAAATACACCAACTGATAAAACAGAAAACATATTTGTCAATAAGTCATAGTTAACAATAAACTCTATGTATCTGTGAACAGCGACGTCGTAAAAGAGCAGTAAACCAATACTGGTTAGTATGATCTATCAATTATTATAAATGTATTTTAATTTAAAAATTCGACATTTTAAAAAGTTACATCTAACGGATGAAGCTACATTAAAGATTCAAATGCTATTGTCTATCAATGAAAAATCTCAAACACTTTATTAAATTCAATATATATATTTTCATTTGAAAAAAAGAATATCTACCCTTACAATGCATGGGATAAATTTAAAAATTATTGCATAGCTAATGATTTAAGAACAATATGTAACTAAAAGTAATCACAAAAAAAAATTCCAAAATTATTTTTATTCTGTAAGTAGTATAGTGGGTTATGTTTAAAAAATCACCATGTAGTTTTACAAAAACGGTATTGGTAGGGAAAATGAGTTTAAATATTTACTTCAATTATATGTAATAAAACGTGGCGTATGACATTTGGTTACTTTGTTATTAAAGATTATTGCAAAAAAAAAAAATTATGAAAATGTTGAAAATTGTGATTGGCCAGTTTAGAAATAAAAAACAAACTAAATTATGAATTTATAAACTAAATTATATGATAAATTTAATAATACTATCGTCGTAAGGGTCAAAATGTAAAGAGACTATTAAGTTTTTTTTTAAATACACAAAAAACATTACTACGCAAATAAAATTATAGTTTTCTCGATTTTTCATGATTTTTGTTTACAAGATAATTGATTTACTAATATTGACAACTAAATTAGTTAAATTTTACTCATAAAATAGTAATAATTTTGAAAAAAAAAATTTTAATTTTGTTTAGGAATGTTTATTTCTCAATTTATAATTGATTAAATATTTTTTAGATCCTTTGTCCCTTTTCAGGATACCAACTTTATTTTATTAAATGTTAACATATATATTTAATTAGATTGAATAATTATAATAGAAAATGATCAAACAAAAAAAATGATGTAACAAATTTTGAAGTAGTATTTCGTAATTTATTAACATTTTTAAATGTAGAATGGAGATGAGGTGTGGGTTATGTTATTTTTATCATTGTGAATTTTTGACACGCAAGTCAGGTATAAATATATTTATAACTCTTGAAAAACTTATTCAAATGTTGTTGTCGACCAATCATTTCTTTAGTTAGGTCATTTTTTTTTATATGAACTAGTTAAAATTGTATGCTTCCATAAAAAAACTAAGTTGGTATCATTAAAAGGGACAAAAAATGGACATACAGAGTATTTAACTATTGAATTTTAAATAGTTAAATACTTCTTAACTAAGCTGAAAAAAAAGTCAAAATTATTAATATTTTAGAAGAAATATAGTGATGAACGATAAATCAATCATCCTCTGTATATTTTTTTAAATTAATAACATTTAATTTGCATATTAAGTTCAATAATAGTTTAATAGTTTATTATAAAACTAAAAAGAATGTTGTATTAGANAGTTCAATAGTTTATTATAAAACTAAAAAGAATGTTGTATTAGAACATTTTTAATATATTCTAACATTTTAAGAAAATAAAAATTTATATTCAAATTTTTTCATACTTGAAAATTAATTAATTAGTATATAAGTTGAAGTATTTATCTTTAAAATATATTTAATAAGAAGACATTAATAAAAAAAAATCTTACCATGGTTGCTGATGCCATGTTGACTCTGCCTTGCCCAATGAACAATTAACAATTGAATGTATGATCTTTTAGTATTTATATTATTCTTGGATGTTGGATTGAATCCAGTAAAATATTGTCAAAATACCAATAAACAGGAATGGGAGTAAGTTTTTTGTGCTAACCATTTTTTTTAACTGCAAGCCCATCCCTCCTTCTACATATAATGTATTGAACTTGTATTTGTCTCATTTTTTTTGTAACTTATTTTATTCATTGAAAACCGGTTATTTGCTTTAAGTCAAGGGTGCTCTATAATGAACTCTAAAGGAGGAGAATCCTCGTTGACCTTCGAATATATCTATGCCCTTTTACTCGCGATTACTCCCTTGTTGTATCCTACAGAAATCATTCTTTAATACTCCTTCCCACACAACACATCTGTTAGTTTTTGCACTTAATTTATCATTTAACAATATTTGTTAGTAACTAACTATTAAATATTTTAGAAACTTAAAGATTCTAATTTTTGATTTCTTACAAGTCAATATGATGTAAAATATTTTTTTTAATGCTTATACATTAATTTATTAGTAGCTACATGATTAATTTGATTATTTTATATTGTCCGATCACACAAGTTTTAAAAATTACAAATTAGTTTATATTGAAATTGGTTTAATTTATAAATAATTTTATTTGAATTTTTAAACTAATGCGATTGTTGTTTGGGCTGGCCAAAAGTAGGTACTTGCTTAAAGTTTGTCTTAATCGAATTCTTCGTCCAGTTGTTTATTAATATAATATTTTTAATACAGAGAAACTATCATAACATCGTGTACATACTTTTACATAGTTGTAACATTTGTTTTACAAAGTGATCCGTTTATTATAAACTTACAATAATTTACAATATAAAAATGATTTTTAAATTTTTTTATTTCATATATTTGTTGATTTTTCAATAATTAACTTTATTCTTTAAAATGTGAATATACATAACCAACTAGATTATTTATTAATAATGATTTAATTAAAAAAATTACTGGTCAATAACAACTATTGGACTAATATTTAAGATGTTATTAACATTTTTATACCTTGGTGGGAGGAGGAATTTGGCCGAGAAATGTATAACGATAAAAGTAGTCACAAGTACACATTGCCTTCAATTTATACTTTAAAATGGTAATAAATTTATAAGTAGTTGTCCAAAAGTTGTTTTTGACCAGTCATTTTCTTTTATAATCTATTATAAAATTTAATTTAATTTATAATATTTTATAATCTAATTAGATGTAGATGTGATAGTTGCGGGTAATAAGTTGTCACCCTTTTAAGGTATAAAATATGAACTGAAAAAGATTTAATTGATAAACCGAGAAAATATGTAAATAATAAAAAAAAACAATTTGAGTTTCATCGAAATTATTTTTATTGTGTAAGTAATTAAATGGTTTATGATAAACGGATCATTCTGTATATGGCGTATGATGTTTGTTCTAATAAAGGATAATGTAAGAATTTTTTAATAATTTCCAATTAAAATTTTACGGTGATTTCATTTAAAAAATATTCAATATGTTAAAAAAAGTTAGTTAAAAACAAATGACTAACGATTTCGAATAATTATGTTTTGTCATTCTTTACCATAAGTGTAACAATATAAAACGTAAAAGTGACAGAAAAATGATAGGTAACTATTATTATTATTATTATATTAATCTAAATAGACCGTATTATTTATTCAGGTAAAAACGATAATTTTGTTTAAATTTGGTCAAGGATTTTAATAGGAAAAATATTTAATGGTTTGATGATTATTTAATTTTTTCTATTTAGATCTGTTTGTGTTGAAGAAATATATTATAAAAAATGTATACATATTCACAAAACCGGTAAGTTATTAAAAAAAGTACTGATAGATGGTTTTGTTCAATATGTTTTTTAGTTAAACATCCTACTCATCTAACTTTTAAATATGTAAAAGTTAAAGACTGTAGGTAAGAAAGATGTGTTTAGTAATTAAAGCAATTTGTTGCTCAATTCTGTGCTTAGTTTGATAGTTTTTTTTAAATTTGTAAAATATCATTATTTACAATCAATGATATGTAATGAATTTCAACGTAATATTTTTAATATTTTCATTGTGTAATTTAATTCTGTAACGCGTTTTACTTGAATTAGGATGCTCTCTGAAATATATTATAGTATTATATATACATATATTTTTTCAAAAAACTACTAGTTAAAAAGTTTTTTTTTGTTTGTAATATTATGAAAGAAGATTAGCTGAATATTCATTACAAACATAAGCTAGTGTATTATTTATTCGATCAAAATGTTGAATTCATTGACCTCTTTATATTCGTTGTTCCATTAGTATTAAGAAAGAGCAATATCAATATTTCGTCTAAATATTTTTTTACTATATATATAAAAGAATAAAGTCATAAAAATCACAATACTTATTCATTAAAAATCATTTATATTACGTACACAACATATGGAAAAATATTTATAATATCATATTTTGAAATATAATTAAGAATGAGTGCTGGAAACACATAAAAGAATACAGTTGTCCTTAGCATTTAAACTTTTCGTGTCCTATAACCAAACCGGTCTCCAACCGCCATGGAAATGCTTTAAATGTAACTCTTTGGAGAGTTATGTTTTTTAAAATCAAAATAATTTTATTCCTGTTTTGGAACCAATAAAACTATTTTGAATGCATAAATATCAATTAATATTAAATTGTTCATTTGATGTATTTATATTTATTTATAATCTTCTGTTTTAATTCAACGAAATCTTTAGAAAATAGTTTGCTATACTTCTGAATATTTTATGGCTATACATTATGGTGCTCCATGCTAATTTATAATAAATAACCATTTTCGAACTTATTTATTTTTCAAATATAATAATACTATAAAACAAGAAAATTAATGATGTAGGAAACTAAACATATTCTGTATTCATATATAATTCTATCTACTTTAAAAATGTGCATTTTAGCTGACAGAACGAATTTTACACAGTATAACAAAATATCATGGCCATTACGAGTTTCCAGCTGTTATATAAATATACTTAAGTTAATATATTCATCAACGATGGTCAAATGCATATTAAATATATCATATAACCATTTAAATGTTACTTAAATTTTAGTTACTGTACTTATTGTTTGATTATGAAATGCAGAACCGATAATTACATTAAATATTTTTGCGTTTTATAACTTTATTAAAAACATCCACCAGAATAATAGACAGACTAGAATGATTGATTTTAACTATTTAATAAATGTTTTATACAAATTTGTATGGCCAATAACAACACAAATAATGGTAAAAATCAACATTTTGGAAAAAAAATTTTCCTCGAGTTAATTATTATCAGACAATGGATGTTAATACTTTCAAATTTTTTATATAAAATTCTTTAACTCGTCAAGGTCAAATTCAAATACAAGTGTATAGTTTTTTTGTGCAACAATTTGGTTTATAACATATAATATCAAAAATAATTTTACAATATTAAAATTAAAATAGTCGTACGTCATAGGAGACGAAATTTTTTAAAAGAAATTAAAAGTTGCATTACCCTATGTTTTTTGAATTTGAAAATAATAAGTCTTTCAAAGTTTAATGAAGTTTTAACAACATTTAAAAAAAAAATTCAATTTTAGTTGTTAAAATAAAAAATGTACATTTTAGCTTGAATGCGAAGCTGAGAAGGTATTAACTTTACTATGATGTGTTTTTTTTGTGTCTGTTACCAATTTTTCTCAGCTCTCACTGGAACGATTTCTTTCAACAATACGTCAAAAGATCACAAATCGTATCTAGTCAAAAACATTACGCTCAAAAATTGAAAAAATTTCTCTCGTTTTCCGTAAATGAGGGAAATCTTTAAAAAAAATTACAAATTTAAAAATAGCTAATTTTTGACATTTTTTCCTTTTTTTTTTACTTAAACAGACATAACTTTTTTAGAAATGACCAAATCAATATAATTTTTTAAATATAAATACGTGATATACTAACCTATCATTTCGTATATATTTTTTATAAATCTGACCGTTTACCTGACCACAAGGGGGAATTCAAAATACCAAATTCTCCACAAAAAATTAACTTTTTCAACTTACCTTTTGAAATTGTTCCGGAAGTACTGACACTTATATATATATATATATATTAAATTAAAGATTATGTAATATAATTTATTATGAAAAAAAAAAATTTCGGTTTTTATTTTGTCTTCGCGGTGAAAATGGCTGCCGAATGACATTTTTGTGTAAAAATTCTCGAATTCATATTTTACATTTTTAACTTTATATTTCTGTAACTGTTTGAAAAATGTATGGATCAATACAATTTTTTTATGATAAATACTATTTATATACTACTATTTTTTGACATGCTTTTTATTATAATATTAGATAATCTTTGATAAATCTGAAGTTGAACAAATATTTTATATATTAATAATAATAAAAATAAAATAAAATACATTAAATATTATTTTTAAAAATGTTACTTCTTTAAAAAAAAATTAATTAATGATTCTCAAATTTACCTATAATTTTTATTATCCCTAGTTATTATTATTGCATAAGAAATAAATAATCAATTACTTTGTACATTTGAGTCTCAGAAAATTAACTTGAATAAATTCCATGTTACATTGTCCCATAAAATTTTTTATTATTTTTATTTGTATAATTTTATAATTTTATTTCGTAATATTAAAATATTTTACAAACTGTACGTTTTAAAATAAAGTATTCAATCTTTTTGGAAATAAGTAACATTTTTATCATTACATTTAATTTATTTTATCTAAATATTGTTTTTATAAATAAATATTCATTAAACTTAAAATCAATCAACGATTATCTATTATGCTAAAATATTGGCCATACAAAACATGTAACGATTTTCTATTATAAGTTGTTTATTTATAGATTTTAATAATTTTTTTTAGCTAAATATTTTTTATTAGTTGTAATTTCTTTTATTCTTCTGATAAATTAGGCATAGATTAACCTTGAAGATGTTTTCAATTCAAATTTTCACAAGTATATTATTTAAAAACGATATTTACCTAATTCCAAGTTCTAGTGTAATATATTATTTCAAAACTATGAATAAAAAACGCATAAAGTATTAAGTAAATTAGACACCAATTAGTAAATAAATTCACCCGGAATGGAAGATAAAATTAAAAAAGATAACTAAATTCAAATTTATACTGATATTATGACAAAATTTTAATTTGATTTATAAATCAAGAGAAAACTAGTTTAAAAATATCCGTTTTTACTAAATTATTATTACTGTACGGGTATATTATACAGTTTGATTTATTATTCCCATTTTTTCGCTAAATAATGATTTTTTCATATAAATGTACATAGGAGGTAGTCTACTTGATAAATCATAATGCACAGTAATAATATAAATCAATGAACCAAATGACGAAGAATTAATTTTATTAAATGTAGTTTGTAATTGTAACTTGAAAAAAAGTGCTAAACATTCTCGGACTTTCAACTTGTACATACTCTTGATATTCTAACTTAACTTATGCTGAGTGGCAAGTCGTATGATTCGGTATTACACATTGTCATATTATAAACGTTGTTTTTTGTTAAAAAAGTAAATTCACCATAAAATTAGTGTTACTTTTTGATTACGACTAAGACTGTTTACATTTCAGTGACAATTATTTAGTCTGCAAAACATTTATTGGAAATGCCATGAGAAATACGCATAAGTTTTCACGTGTAGAGTTAATAATATCAGTGCACTCAATTTTTGTTATTATCAAGTTAAGAAATAAAAATAATAATAACTGTAAACAATCAAATTAAGTAATAGGACCAATTTTACACAAATTGTGTAACTCGGCCGTTGTGAGACGTAAGAAACATAATATGTTATATTGTTACCGAAACGCGTCTGTTGTACTGTTAGATCCTTTCGTTCGGTAATCAAACAAATTGGATCACTCTGCTTTCTTATACAAATTTTGCGTTGTTTGTTAAAATTATCGATAAGTCGTTTAAAAAAATTGCCTATCGTTTGAACGGTTCATATCAGTTATGAATACATAAGTTTTGCCTCATGCTATAATTTTCATAATAATTGAACATTGAGACCACTACTCGGTTAATTGAATTCTTGTTTAATAATAAGTTATTGTTATGCATCGCTTACTTAATTCTCTATTTGATTACTATTTCAATTAGTAATACAATCGCGCCATTGTCTTGAATGTTTGCTATAATATATTATTATGTATGAGATTGGTTTTCAATAATTAATATTTGATTTTTCGAACGCTAAAAATGTTGTAATAAGTTTTCTATACACGAATTCTCGATGATTTCCATACCATTCCTTTTGCAATGTAAATAATTATTAAATTCGTAAATAGAATTAATAGGACGCTGAGATTGCATTACATTGCCACCAATAAAAAACTTTTAACTTATTAATTACTATAAAATCACCTGTTTTACTGATAAGTTTTAATTGTGTGATACTTTTAGTATGTAATACATTATGTATGTTACCTTGAATTTATAAATTTTTAGACAATAAAAGTAATAGGTCGATGACACTGGTACTTTTCTAATGACATTGGGAGAGTTTATAAAATATAAATAACATTTTGTAATAATAATAATACTATTTTTATTTAATTTTGCAACCTACACGGAGAAAACAGGTTTTGCCAATAAAAAACCATGTTTGTGGTTCGTTAATTTAAGCTAATATTTATTTGTCTATTTTGTGATTTAATATATAGAACTATTAGTAATTTTCTCATTCTTTATAAATATTTTTTAGGTATTATTTTGGCACAATACTTCAATTCCAAATTCACAGAGCTATGTGTTTAGCTTCCGGTCAGTACAGACCAAACGATCCCAACAAACTACTTCATAAGTGTGATGTCTACAGAAGCAAAGAAGCCGGTGACATCTTAAAGTAAGTACAATGTTGTACGTGTTATCACGTAATAAATATGATAAAATATATCTGTTTACATCATATTAATCATATTATACCTTAAATATCTTCAAGGTGATTAATTTTAATCCACGAATATACCAGAACATAAAAAATTAATCTTCACCGATTATTATATACTTAGATAAGGCATTTTTAAACCTTAAATAAAAATTATTATCTAAAAACATCCTGGAGGCATATGTGGAAACGTAACATAATAAATAATACAATCGACTTTGTTATAACTTTTCTAAAAGTGATTTTTTGTGGTATTATGTATCGTGTTACGATGGCATAAACCGTATTAGAAATTTTTTCAACATTTTTTAATTATCATACCAATACATCACATGTTTAATAGTTGTACTTGAGTTTTCTCTGTGAGGTCGTTTGTATCTGGTTCTTTTTTAACCACTAGAGCGTTCATCTCATACGTTTATGGATCCAGCATTTGTAGCAAAATAAATCAATTAGATTCGGTATTCTTAAAAAAAAAAGAACCAACGCGTTCTTGAACGTTATAATTAACATTTCTATGACAATATGTCTGCGATCCACCCACATATTCGTATTCAGTGAGATGCTACAATAATATCAATAACACGAAAGACTTAAAAGAACGTTTCAATTAGATACAATTCTTTCATAAACTGTATTCATAATTATTTAATACGTTCGCCGCTGTTGTTTTTGTAATTGAAGATCGACGCATATTTTGTACTTTGAATGCTGAGGACAAATCTTTTGTTGAAAAGTGAAACTCTTTTCGCGGACCATTTCCCATCTATGGGCCATCGGACACATGCGGAGAATTGTATAATTGCAGTGAAATGCGATGTTTAATAATGGGAAAAATACTAAATATTATGTTATGCAACGAGGTCGTTTTTTTACTAATTTGTCAAGTGACAAAACGAGACGGTCGACTCGCAATTTATCATGTAAGAAACGTTTTTCGCGTTTATTCTAGAGGAAAATAATCCCAAAAATAAAGATCGAGAACATTAATTAATCTCTGATACACTTCATCGCATTTTCCGGTTAGCGAATTAAGCAAAAGAGATATTTTGTCCAAAAACTTTTGCATTGGATTTATTAATTGTTCTACAAACGATTATCCCTCAGCAGGGAGATTAGAAAAGATAGATGTTGTTTGAATCAAAACGTTAATGGATATAAAATTAAGTTGAAAAAAAGGATTTCTAATGGAATTTAAATTAATTATTAAGAATAACAGTTAAGTAATTAATAATGTAGTTTATCAGACATAATAAACATATTATTATTATTGAATCAAAAATATTCTTTAACAATTCTATCAACATTTTTTTCAATGATATGTACTTATTATTTTAACCTAATAATGAATACATTTAAACGGGGTCACGGTAATATATATTATTTTGTTTTAAACTGGATTTTGATTTATATAGTTATTTACATTCGATGAGGATCTTTCAATATTATAGTATTTTATTTTATTATATTATCATTAAAGATATCCTTTAATTTATAGAAAACTTATGGAACCGGGTTCGTCGGAAAATTGGAGAGACACATTATCATTAGCCATAGGTGAAAATCGGCTAGACGGATCTGCTTTAAGAGAATTCTTTCAACCTCTTGAAGAATGGTTGCGAAATGAAAATCTTAGAACTGAACAATTTATTGGATGGACATACGGTAAGTAAAGATTACAATGACAATGTTTGAACGTATATTACATTGGTAATAAGGATAAGTGTTAAATACATATAAATTATTTATTAAATTCCATATGACGTTGATCGTACAAATTTCATTTCAGTTTTGCCTTAATTTGATAATTTAATACTTTAAACGCATTGAAAGATGTCAAATTTAAGTCTCCATTTAATAAATTTATTGAATACAAAAATATATTTTATTCTGCATTAATGCAAAATAATTTATTTATAAATGACGTGTAAAAACATAAATAAACTTTTAAGTTTTAACACAATGTGTTGTATATATTTGTGCGATAAAATCTATTTTTATTTAGATTTAGTTTTAAATGTAAAAAACACAATACTTTTAATATTTATGACAATTTATATTACATTTTAAAATCAATATGCTAAAAAATCCCTCTATGACCGACTAGTTGTCCTTGTGGAATGAATGTATTCGACGAAAAAAGATTCTATATTTCTGGCTTTATGTTAAATTTTGTATAACTTCCATTTTTTTTTCACTTAATTTTATACTTAAAAAAATGTATTGAATAACAAATAATCTTTACATAAATTCCATTCGAATAAAACTGATGATATTTTCAGATGGAGATTACTGTAAGCATAGCATCGAAACAGCCAATTTACAAGTATACGGAGGATTTTACAATGGAGCTACTTCTTTAACAACGTCCACCGTAATGCTCTTTTCATCATTATCTGTTTTGTTTTTGATGAAAAATATTTGAGAGGCAATTTTTTCCTGTTAGGCAGTTTTTTTACGATTGTAGAATATTTATACAATGTGCTTAATTAATTTATTAGCTATTATAACATATATATATATATATATATAAATCTATAGTCAGAAAAACTATTTCGCTTAAACAGAAAACCGCAGAATCTGTAAATCCGTACTTCCATCACAATATAACCCAAATTTGTCGGTCAACTCAATGCATTGATAATCTGTTAATTAAATCAGTAGACATATTTTATGTGTAAATAACTTTATTACACTTCTAATACTTTTACACTATTTTAGACTTAAGAATAATTTTTAGGCGGTAAGACTGGATTTAAGTTAAAAATGAAAAAACTTCAATTAAATCTCTACTTATATTAACAATTCATTTTTTGTATAACTTAAATAAGTTTAGTCAAATAGAAATAAATATATTTTGTATTTAGATACATTTGTTGACTATTTTGAAATATATTTATAAAACAAACAAATATATCATTTGTTATAAGTACTTATTTTTAGCAATTATAATTATTTTAATAATTGACATCATAAAATTACTGATTATAATTTTTACTTAATAATTCTTTAAACAAACCAAAAGTTCATTAAAATATCAGAGAAATGTTTTTATGTTATTTTTATTATGGTTTGTAGTTTTAATGTTAATAAAAATAATTGTTTATTTATACATAAACAATTATACTTTATATATTAGCCATGTAAATTATTTTGTTATTCTAAAATATTATTTAGTAGATATATTATTAACTATTTAATAAAAAAATATTTTTACTTTATAAATATTAAATCTTTAACATATACTTTTACAACCTATCTAGGAGATTCAAATCTAGTTGATAACTATTGTTCTAACTAACGTATTACGTTATTGGACTTTGTGAAAAGTAATTTTTTTAATACCAATTAAGGAACCCAACCTAACCCATACAAATTTAATTAAAACATTAAGAAATAAGTACAAGCAAAGTAATTTATTTTTAATAAATTTAAGTAATTTCAATGAAAATTATTTTTTTTAGCTTTATTTGTTTCTTAAAGAATACACCCTTGTCTACTAAGACAACAATAGTACCAAAACCACATTGTTACGATTTTTAAAAATTTTAACCAAGTCCCTTCGATTGTATAAAGCTCCAATATTTCAATTTAAATAATTATAATAATAAGAATGAGTATTAACCGAGTTTTATATCATTTTCATAGCATTTTAATTTCATTTTTTAGTTAATCTTTATCAAAGTACACTATGACAATGTATTGTGGTTGTTATGCAGTACAACAATTAACACTAGATTCTAACTGGAGAGGGCTGAAAAATAACAATAGTGTTGCCGTGTTGTTAAACTATCCGAGTACAAATGCGATTAGCGGTTTATTAATAATAGTACGACCCTCCTGTTACAGAGCAATTACAAATATTATAGCTCACTTAACTCTAATCATTGTATTATATGTACTGCGATCTTAAACGTTGGCCTCACAAAAGGACTCGTGGGGTACATTAGACGAGGGGTTGTTGTAATCTGTTGCGTGTCATCGGATCATAATCACGACGGACAAAGTACTAAACAGCACAACAATATGATGAAGACATAAACGAGAGGTTTATATTATACACATAACAAATCAAAAGCGCGTGCAGGGGAGTCCTTTTTTTAAGCCTTGTTCGTTCTCTTCTCTGGCCATTGCTCTTCGATAGCCGGCGATAAGTTTAACGATCCGCAAACTTAGATCTCGTAGTCGATATAATACGTTAACGACATGTGAGAATACCACTCACACACCACAAATTTACCCCCCCTCCTGTACACATATAAATTTTTTTCTATTCAAATGTCATCCGTGTTCGTTAGTTAGACACGCATACATTATAAATACCGTGGAAAAAACAGGTGAGTCCATCAGCATAATATTTTGTTGCGTAATTCCGCTGTAATATTGTGGTCTTGGACAATATTGCTATTTTTGTTAACGTTGAGGATTTCCTTTTCAATTCAACAAAAGTGCCAAAATAGTTAATTATTATAAAATATGCGTAAACTTTATCGTATAACACATGTAGCGAAATACAAAAATTCAAATTTGCCAACAAGAAAACACCACAAAAACCGGATTTTTTTATGTGGGCGAGCGCTGTACTGGTATTTGGATAGACTTAAATATTGTAATTTAACTGTACTAATGTCATACTTCAATAGAACATGTACTGTTTTTGAATTAACAAGCTAATATTATAAAGAAAATCTTAAATTTAAATTTGACGAGGGGTTGATTTTAGTTCATTGCGGTAGCATCGTCATTAGGTATGTCTATAGTTTGATGACTTAGTGCAAATACTACCGGGCAAATTCACAAGGACGACTAGTAGTCGTTATATCAATGAGTAGTATCCACCACATCTGAAATATAACATGACAGCAATGACATCCGGGTTGTCTGTCTATTTTCTCGACAAAAGTTCTTGACAATCTAAGGGACTAATATGATAGTTGATAGGTTTTGGCTCAAGTGCCTCGTTATCATAATTAATATTAGTTTTAAGTAAAATATATAACGAGGATCATACGTTTATTGCTGCAACAGATTTTCTTTCATTTTTTTTTTTTAATTTGTTTTGTAATCAACTGATTTTGTATCCCACTGTACTTTTCTTTCGCGATATAAATCAATGAGTTGAAATACACTTTTCATTGAAATACTATTTTCATTATTTCATAATGATACTTTTTTTAATCATCCGAAACCAAAATATTTTTTTCTAAACCTATTTCAAATTTCCAATTGAATTGTTCTAAAATCTCGAATTTTTAAAATAATTACACATTCTATTTTTTTAAATTTATTAGAAATGTGTCGAAATTTTGTTAAAATCATCATTTGTTGTTATTTTATCGTAATAAATTATTTTAATAGAAATATCAGTTTAATTACATGTAACTCTTGATGATTATAAAGAAGGTGCAATTAAAATTTTCAGACCTATATACATTTCATAATTATTCAAAAATAATATCAAAAACATAGGTTAAATTGAAATGATACATAATGTCTAACAACGAAGAAAAAAACATCTCCACTCAAGTCCGGTTGATGACAAAAGGAAATAAGAAGAGCCAACACTATCTATCGGCGACTTCAAAACTATAACGATTAGTCTGGAAAGTATCTTGAGCGATAAACAATTCGATTTTAATTGTATTTATTCTCTTATCTAATAATCTGTAGCAAAAATTCTGCGCATTCCAAATTCATGTAAAAAAAAATATTTACTCGTACATTACTTTGGGTTGAGGAGCAGACAATAACAAAAATTATAGACAGTCCACCTTTTTAATAATTAATAGAATTTTTTTCATGTATTTAAAAAAAATATGTATATTAAATCTTAATGGTTATAGTGTAGTTTAACTATAATAAATTATAAATTTAAATTTAAAAAATTTGTATAAAATAAAAGTTGACATTTTTTTCAAATGTAATTTTTTTTTTTTTATGTATTGTTGCATTTTTGGTGCATATTAAATCATTAAAAACAATATGTTTAAGTGTTTATTATAAAGCTTAAAACAACATGTTTTAATGCTATAAGTTATGTGATCTGATCACAATAATTGTTACTCAAGTTTATGTTCGGGTTAAATCAATTTATTTCTTTAAGTATGTCTTTATGAAAATTTCAAATTAAAAAAAAACATTTCAAGAGTTGTGTTTAGACTACGTCTAGTAAATCAAAATAAATGATAGTTATAAAATATTCATTTTTTATTCAAAGATATTAATAACATTAAGTATTACAATATAATAATTAAAATTTATCGGACTAGATCTATAATTTGTACACAGTTCAAAATGTTCAATATATTTCCTATACATAGTTTATATACAAAGGTGTACAATAAAAGATAATTCTAAAACAAAATAACGCTCGGAGAAATAAAGGATTAGTTCAAGTCGAATGAAAAGTCTGATAGATATTAGGTAAAATGAATGCCGTGTGCTGGAACATCTGTCTGGAAAATAAAAAAAATATCAATGATCAAAAACGTTAGTGAGCAGTGGTATTGATAAAATCTACAATATTCTGCATAATTAACGGCAACAGCTGTTGTCAGTTTTGCCTTGCGAGCGTTATACGAGTCAACCCGGCCGAATGATTCGATTAGAATCTATTACGCCAAAGTGGATAGGTAGGCGTGTGTATGTTGCGAAAGGGAATTCGACGAACACCGTCGTGGAAGAAAATCACCGTGAAATCCTCAGTTGCGAATAAATAATGAAAATCGAAATAACAATAAAAATAAAGTACAAAATATTACAGAGGCACCTGACTAACTTTCGCACGACGCCTCTGTAAAGTGAATCAAAATAAGTGGAAACCAATCGGATTTGTCCCGGCCGCCATAATCGTCGGGCTACTGTCTTTGCTCGAGTTTAGTTTGTCGAACACAATTTAGGCAAACACAAAAGAACACGTATATGCGCTTTGTAACATTTAGACCTCAATAATGATTTGTCATCATTAAGAAGACGTTAGACCGGTTATTAGATCTTAGAATGCATCATTTTATTTGTTTATCTTGTTACCATTATTCGTCCTTATGAGCATTAAACTATGAAAAACGTTCAAGTATTTCTATAAAAAACTATAGATGCTCATTCAAATTCTTAAAGTACCTAAAATTTGACACATTGTTTTTAAAAATTAAAAATATTAACATTTTTGACATTACAGGTACATGAAATTCATTTTTTTTTAGATTTTTGTGTGTAAGAATTATATATGACTGATGTAACAAACACGTTATAAAACCTATGAATATCATTAAATAAAACTTAAAAACGAGGTATACTCAAAAATAAAATAATTGATTCTTGTCAAATAAATCACAAATTTTCGGAATATTGTTTCACAAATTTAAATATTTCAAAGATTAATAAAATTTTGAATAATAAAACATTTTTTTTTATAAATTGATACTTCGAAGCTTTATAATTCGAGTAAATATTTATTTTTGAACACTCCAACAGTGATATAGTATATTTGTAATTAAATTTATCTTTCTAATGCCAACCTTTCTTAATTCATAGTTAAATATTAATATTTAAATAATTTTAAGTAGTGTAAACACTCAGAATACTTCTCAACATAAAACAAAACCTATTTACGTTTTTTTCGACCATAAGCTAAACGATAATACTATAATTATAAATGAACTCCGTTACACATCAAATGTGACTACTAAATATCTGCTTGTACAATTTAAAAATCCATTTTCATTAGAAAAATCAAATACGCTATGTTGTAAACTCTTTTAAATTTATTTGAAATAATGACAACGTTCAAAAAACTGTTTTTTCAATCAAATTTTAACCTGACAAATATAATTTTTTACTAGTAAAAATAAGTAGATATCTAAAAAAGTTTGGCGAATTGTAATGGTAATTGCATACTGTTAGTACTGGTAATTTATCTTTTTATTGTTTTATTATAATATATAAATACTTATAAAAAAGTGGTACGAGTGAATGTTTACCTAATTATATTTGTACTCCGTTGGAATGATGTAAGGTCAACTTTTATGAAAGGAATACATAAATTTGCCACATAATAATTTTAGACAAAAATTACTGATTAGAAATTAACTTGAAATATTATTCAGTTCATAAACCAATCCGAATTAACGCGTGTATCACTAATTTGGTATTTGGTTAATTGATATACAAGATTAAATAAAATTAAAACTATATTAAAAATATTATTAATTTAAAAACTAAAAAATATTAAACTCAAAAAGCCACAAAAAAATACTGAAAAACCGTCAGTAGATGTTTAGCGTTGATAATGGTAACATTGTTTCCGAAATACGTATCCGCGGTTTTTTAGTAATTTTTTGTGGCCACAAGTGATCAATTTGTATACAAGAAATCAATTTGATAGAGATTTTAGTATAAGTTCATGAGTCATTATCCTTTTCCTTTATAACTAATAAATAACCAATTTAAGACAACTTCCTCTGAATAGTAGCGATGAGTCTTTAATAGATTAAATGAAATTTATTAAATTATAAAATTTTCAAAAATGTTGACTAAACAAATTTACGCGTAATATTTAAAATAAAACTGTATAAAATTAAAATAAATTGTTGCTAATTTTTTAAAATTTCTCATTACTTTGGTATTGAGAAGATATTCAATACTTAGCTTCACGTCTATTATGAATTTTGACAAGTGTTACAACTGAACAATCAGCTTAAACATCGTCAAAATTTCATTAAATAAATTGATAGTAATGATCATATTACAAGGTACATTGAAGCGCTATGAAAATTCAAACTTTATTCCAAAAATTCAATTTTTCTATATTATTTAAAGATCTAATTTTATTTTGTTTAAAGAACTCTTATCATTGTAGATAAATACATTAGTAGAATTGTTTTTAGGTATAAATTAGTTAATATGAATAAATTATTGTCATTGACCTGTTACAAGTATTGGATTTAATTTAGAATTAATAAATAAAATTTTAAAAACTATTAATCTTAGGATAACTTATAAACTAATCGTTAAAACAATTGTATACCTAATTTTTTATCAAGCTTACTTCAAATCATACACACCTAATCTGTAAGTCATAATGTGTTTTTTCTAGTCTCTTATCTTTAGCCCTTCGGTTTTGGAACCAAATTTTGACTTGAGTTTCTGATAAATCCAAAGTGTCAGCCAAATCGGATCTTTTATTTCGTGAAACGTACTCATTTTTTTTGTACTCCATTTCTAATGCTAATGTCTGCTCGGGGCTGAATGTGGTTCTCTGGCGCCTCGGCCCACGCCCTTCTTTTCTACGTTTTCTTTCCACTGCACATAATTAAGAAAATATAAGTGTGTAAAATTATAGGTCACTATTATAGTTTGACACCTATAATAAGAAATCTTCTTTAAGATTTATATTTTATATAAAATAATAACTTTAAATTAAATAAAAATTTATACTCAAACATTTTAACAAATATTTAATGTATTCTACAATAATAATGTAATTAATTATTGAAACAGTTATTGGCAACTTGGTGATGTTATAAAAAACTTCAAGGTTTATACTAGGTTTATTGCCAAGATTTCGGTAAGTAATATTTTTGAAAGTATTTTGATTGGGAAACCCGTGAAATGTATCCTTATAATATGCCAACCAACTTGGTAGAAGGATTAATTGTTACGGTGTTTCAAAAAAGCAGTACATTAGCTTGTAATTTAATCATATGTCTACCCAATATCTCAACCTATAGGACTTCGATAAGATATCATATTCTATTTGATGTGATTTAAGAAACAATAGATGTCATATGGTGAGCTATAATGTGAGTCAGATTTATTTCCGGACGATTTATGTAGTCCCCGTCTTATTTATTAATTTCCGTTTACTGATTAAATTATCACATCACTTGTTCTTATGTGTATTGAGTTTTATTGAGGTATTATTTTAATAAGAATATTTTAACTAATTTAATCACCTTCCTTGTTTAGTTTCATTCATAAAATATGTATATCTTGTAATTACTATCTATTATACTGGATAATAATTACAAAATAAAAAATCTAGTTGATAAGAAGTAATATTTTTTTTGTTATCAGAATAATAACTGAAAAATTATGACAAAAGTTATTCCTTCTTATAGCTTAGAATTGGAATAAACGTAAACGAGTAAACTTATATTAATTAACAACGGATAGTGTATTTTTGTGACATTATTCAATTAAAATAACTTAATATTAATATTATACAGAATGTGTTTCATACGATGAACATCAAAATTATAACAACGTAAATTTTATGATGTAATTTATAAAAATATTGTGAAAAAAATATTTTTCTATGTTTTACTACTCTTGTGTTCTAATTTTTTTGGAGGTATTTAAAAACTCAATAAGTATTTGTTTGTATTTGAGAAACGATGTTCATGTAAATTAGTTAAAAATAATAATGGATATTTGACTAATTTCGGTTAACTATTTTATTCAATATAAACTTGTTTTTTTGTAACCTTGTTAGTTGTTTACTACCACAAATAAAATATTTAGAAAAACAATTGAACCGTATTTTTTTTAATGATAAATTGTCAATGAACACTTGATTTTATAGTTTATGAAGAATAGTCTGTAGTTTTTCTAAAAATAGTAAATTGAATTATTGTTCTCTAAAATTCATAAAATTTTCAATAGCTATCATATCACTATGATTTATAATAAATGATATTTTTTATAATTCAATTAAATTCATTTTAGTATTATAGGAAAGTTAATTTTCTCATAAAATTTAATTTTTAGTTATTAGACTTAATTTAATTAGTTAATTAAGTAACATCTTGTATATTGTTAAAAAAATGTATTAGTAACAAAATATGATATGGAAATTAGACAATTGCTCAAATATAGGAATTTGAAAAAAGTACATGGAAGGTCACATGATCTTCATAAATTGTATTCATAAATTAAACAAGTAGTCCTCGAAATTTAGTGAACTGAAATTCTCTATTCAATAAGTAATAGTTTTTCATTTTTTTATAATACGATTTCATTGCAAATATTACTTTTAATTATCTATTTGGATTATAAAAACACTTACAGAACGCCGTCAGTCCGGCAGCAAACGGGTGTTCGGTCAAAAAAGGTGCCACTGTCGTTGGTCTTTGGGGTAGACAAAACTTTAGTGGACGCCGTGGCCTTTTCTTAGGATTCTCGTCGGATGTCTGATTGAGGTCGCACTGTGGACGGATAAATATTTGTGATCCATCACCCCAAGTTTCTTGGTCTTTGTGAATGGTATCTGCCGAGTCGGTCTCGTAAAGCATGGCAAAGAATCTTCTAGGCGACAACGGCCGGCGAACGGCCACCCTGGATTCCGTCATGATGGTAATAACACTGTCGACGATGGTGACGTCCGATGGGACGAGCCTAGGTAGGCGTGTCCAAGGGGAGAATTTTCACCCTTTATATCAATGAACATAAAAGTAAGACTCCAAATGTCTTTGGCTGATAGAGAGGTGGTGGAGAAGGGTGTTTCCTTTTAAATGATAATTTTGTCGTTGTTTACCTTGTTAAACTCGCGTAATCCGTTTTAGTTTTTAATTTTTAGAGTATCTTTAATACAACGTCTAGTTTTTATTAAGTTAAACTTCATTAAAGATGTACGTGCGTGTCGATTTTTTGAAGAATAACATTTTTTTATAAACGTAGTATATTATAAAAATTTTCAAAAATAAACAATAAATAATATATCATGTTATTGACATAAGAAAATTATAGTAGTAAGTATTAAAAGTAAAACTTTTTAGTCTAAACGTAACATCTTGTATCAATAAAATATGTTAACAAGCCAAAACTAATAATTATTCGGTCTGTTTTCAGGCGTTGTGTTTGTTGAAGTTGGTAATACAGTAGTATTTTGAGACTGTGCTTTTTTGATAGCTAAGTATACGGAGAACAACACATGCAATGATTCAATCTTGGTTTCTGTTTTAGGAATTCCGAAGTAGTCTATATCAACAAATAAAATTTATTAATTGCGTGTAATATAAAATTATATTTAATTCTTTATAAAAAATAACTTACATTTCAAATGGGTAATTTTAAGACTACGTCTAACTAATTTAATAAATATTTTGAGTATTAAAGATGAACTCATAAGCAGTTATTTTATCTGTCATAAATAAATTATTGGGTAACGGAGAAAATGACTGTCAGATAACAATTTTTTAACCAATAGTTCAGTAGTTATGACTATTTTAATATCAGGGTGGCAGTGATAAGAATAATGATAAAAATAACATAACCCATACCAGTCTATACAAAGTGATCGGTTTATTATAAATCACTAGATTGCTCACAAAATGAATAGAATATTGGAAAAAAAATTATGGATTTTTTTAGTTACTTATAGTTCTTGAAATGTCAGCTAACAATTATTTTTTAGAATATAACTTAAAAGGGTGTCAACCTAATTTCTGTAAAGGCAACATACATTTTAATTAGCTTATAAAATAGAAAATACTCTAATTATGAGATTGACTAATCGATAACATCTTTTGGACCAGTATTTCAAAAATTATTAACAATTTAAAGTTATGATTACAGGTGAGGAGTGGGTGCTGGTATTTTTATCACTAGTCATTTCCCAGTCGTACTCTTAGTCCCGTCTAGGTTAGAAAATGAAAATAATATCCAAAGTACTAGCTCAAAAATTGTTATCGACCAATAATTTTCTTAATTAGATAATTTTCTACTTTATAAGTTAATTAATTATGAATGTTATCATTTCAAACAATAATGTAAATTCCCCTAACATTATAAGGGGAGATTCTAGTAAGTAGTTAATAGCTAATCTTCTTTTTTATCGCGTCATTGCCAATTGCTTGGGGTCGGCCAAAAGTAGTTAATAGCTAATAAATAAAGAAATATATGTAACTAAAAAACCAAATTTTTTTTTCAATATATTTATTTTGGAGTAATCGAGCGGCTTATAATAAATAAATAACTTTGCATATTTAGTGTTAATAACTTTTGAAATACTGGTTCAACAGATATTTTTTACCATTAAAATGTCAAAAAAACTAAAAATGGTCATGGACTAATGGATGATTTAATATGGATTGACCTAATAGGGTTATCAATTATTATATGGTAAACTAATTATTTTCCGTAAAGTTTTATCAGAATTCAGTTTAGTTTATTTTAATTGAATAAAGGAAGTCATAGTATCCTACATCATTTTCAAAATTTGGAAATCTTCTTAAAAAGTTATTTTTTTTATAATAAACTTAACATCGTAACTTATAAAAATAAAAATTTTTATTCAATATAATTTTATGAAAATCCATTACAGTTAATTCGTGACACACCGGAAACTCGGCATAATTATATGATAACTGACAGTTATTATAATCAATATCATAAAAATCGCTTCGATGCAAATTTGTTGATAGTATTTAATTTTAAGAAAGAATATATATATTTATAGGTGTTTATAGGTGTTTATAGGATTTTCAGAAAATGTTCAAAAGTTAAACATAAAAGATTAGCTTTTTGTGTATATTATTATGTTCAACCCTTCTTGAGGCGACAGACAAATAAAAATAACATGTTATAGTTTTTTTTTTACTTCCATTGTTAAAGAAGCTAAAAAGCATTATACATAATATAAGGTAGAATTATTTCTTTTCAAAAATTTGATATTATTCTCCTTCTAGCCCTTTAAAATAGTATCAATTTAAGTTTTTTTAATGGAAACATATATTTAACTAGCTTAAAAATGAGAAAATTAACTAATTAAGAAAATATAGTAATATTCAACCAAGATTTTAAATGATATTAACACTTACATATAAGTCGGGAGGTGTAGTACACTTAAAATAAACAAATAGCCCGGCGCTTTACCTCCTGTCCATCTTTAAAATTATAAAACGGATATATATTTTTACATTTAAACATTAAAGATGGGATAGGATTAATTTTTTTTGAAAATTATAAAACATGAGGTGCTATTAACGTTTAAAAAATACATGTATATTTGTTTTATAATTTTAAAGATAATGCGTTATATCTAATTAATCATTTTGAATATAATAATTTTATTAGTTTCTACTCACCACATACTTCATCAATTACCGTTGGTAAATCATTGTCAAAATTAGGTGCCGTTCTTTTATCGTCTTCAGTCCATTTAGCCATTAATGTTTCAACATCGGGCATTTTACTATTCATATATTTAAATAATTAAAAATCAAAAATGAAAAAATATATTAATATAATATTTCACATACACCGAATAAAAAAACGTTGAAGTCTTGTTGCGATTCAAATCATTAATGTTTTGTATCCATTGTTCAATAACCTTTGGATTTTTCTCAGCATTTTCTAACTTTTTTACAATCTGTAGTGTATTTATAAATGCATTGATCAAACATAAAATGTATTTTAATAATAATATAAATGTATATATTTCATAAGATCATTACCAAATTTTTAGTAGAAACTGTAGACGATGCTCTGAGTTGTAAATTTAGAAGACATGGGTCACTTTGATTGAGACTGGGTTCGTCTAAGTATTCCAAGCCAATACCTTGTTGGATATCAGGATCAGGAGGTATAACTTTTAAAAAAGCATCCGCATCTCCGACGGCTGGTAAATAATCAGGTATAAATGGTACAAGCTTATAGTCAATTTTAGTTTTCTGAGGATAATACCTTTGAAAATATATTAATAATTTTTTATGCATAAATTAATTTTCCTTTATTTAATTACTTACATAGGTATGTATTTAAATATATCTTTGATATCTTCAGACAAATTCAAATCATTGTAGTCTTTTTCATAGTCTCTAAAGACGAAAATATTTCAATTTATTAATTTTTTATGAACAAATACAGGAAGTTTTAGGTGGATAACGATTATTATAGAAACTTAAGTATTAGATACTGGTTGCTTGATAGCATTTTATATGCAATAAAAAATTGTAGTTCAAAATTAATTTTAAAAACAAATGAAATCAAAATATAACTAAATAAACCATAGTTATTTCTTCATAGCATAATAAATTAAAGTTAATTTTATTTAACCTTTTAGCCTCATGGACATCGTAATTGTCATGATCTTCTTTTACAGACTCAATGACTTCATCGTAATCTACAGCTCGTAGTCTGCTCCTTGATCTCCTCCCAGAACTGCTTGACATCTAAACAAAAAAATAGCAATAAAAAATTTATACATTTTTACTAATATTAATTAAGTAAGTTTATCGAGAAAATAAAATTATCTTTCTCGTTATAAAATTTTTAATAATTTGAGAGTAAAGAGAATTTTTATTATTAAACAAACAATTAATGGTTCAAAAATTAACTCCAATTATTTTTTTATATAGAACTAATGTAATGTTTAAATCTGTTTAGTGAAAACAAATTATCATCCAGTTTGTTTTCAATTTTAGGTATTTTTTATGATGAATTTAACATCTAATTGAGTATTTTTAATTCCACTAAAATGTTAATAGTCGTATAAAAAATAGAAAAAATAGTCTAAACTTCCAATAGTATATAAAAAGTTGCACTTTATAATGTTACATATAAATTTAAATATACGAAATAAATTTTTTCACAATAGACTTACCAACAACTTCCTTTGCTTAGCACTTGGAGTTCTCAAATCTCGACTACCTTCATTTTCCAAGCTGCTTTCCGTTGTATCACTTTCAATTTCATCGGCATCTTCTTTTACATCAATCTCTTCGTCATACATTTCGAACGGTTTATGAAAATTCATTCTTCTATAAATGGAAATGAATGTTACGATAATTCGTCACTACTGAAATGGAAATTTGTTTATGTTTGGTTTCAATTTATCTTGTTGCTAATGGCAACAAACATAGATCGTGTTTATAATGAACATAGCATTGATTTTTTCAAGAGTTTTTCGTTATTATTCAAAAATAAGTAACTTCATCTTCTTTATGTAAATGTATTTAGGTGGGTATATTGATAATTATGTAATATTATGTGTAATATAACATTTAATACTCATTTATTTTGTAAACATAATAGAAACAATTAATTAAATAACTTACAAATTAATGTGGTTCATGCCAATATAACTTATATTTGTCTTACTAAACAAGTAAAACGTCAAGTATTTCATTTTAATGCGATTTTTATAATGATTTTTTCAAGATAATCATTATACAAATATTTTCTGTACCGAACTATTTTTCAAACAATAATTGAAACAAATGTCTTATATAAACACTTTAATACAACAACTATAAAATTACATACATTTATGAGTGTAATATTAAAAAAATATATATATTTTACTATGCAGCGAAAAAAAAATGAATTTATTGTAGAATTGATACTCCAAAATAGATTTCACTTGAGGCTCTTACAATTACTATATCGATTTGATATAAATTGAAACTATGGAAATAACGAGTTTCAATAGAAAGACATTTTATTGAAATTATCTACCAATCTCTAACATGTTCATAAAATAAATTTAGTTCACTCTAATTGGTTAAATATAATGAACTGCATTAATTAAAAATATGCGTAGCGATTTTTTAGATTTCTATAAATAGGCTCAGTGGCGAATTTAAGGGGTAGCATGTCCGTCCTGGTAATTTTCTCTTGGCAATATTTTTTAAGAGCATATTTTTCACTACATTATTATAAAGACGGACTTCTAAAAATATATTTTAATAAAAATAAGGTTATTTCTACATAATTACGAATTTCATACTAAGTGAAAAATACAGTAAAAGAATAAAACATTAAGAGTTTATAGTTACAATTAACGTGTGCCTCCCATGTCAAAATATCCAAAATCGGTCACAGACTATGCGGTTATATATTTTCAAACAGAAAACAATTTTTTAGAGATTTTTGTGTTTATAATATAATAAACATATGTTATATGTTCAAATAATATTATGTTTTCCATAGTATTTTTATCGTACAACTCGGGAGCGTATAGGCAAATTAATACCAAAAAGTATATCTTGAAGTGTACTAAATTACTAACAGGCGTAACGATAATAATGATTCTTAGAATTCAATTATCCTTGTATGATGTGTTGCATATTTCAAAAATTAAGGCAAGATTTTAAAATGATTTAATGTGAGATTTTTGGTTAACTAAGTTATGAAATAATTATTAAATTTTTCATTATTTGAACACAATAGGCGTCTGGTTTATATTAGTATCAACATAATTCAGATAAAAATTTTTCTAGTACAAATATAAATATAATTAAATTCACAAATATAATGAATTATCCACTGATTTTTAAACAATGCAAATAAGGTATTTTATGCAAGTATTAAAACATTTTTAATTTCGTTTTTTAGTTTTAAATTGTCTTCAAATTATTACATTTTACAAGTTGTATTACACAAATTAATATTATTCTATTTATTTATTTTTACTTAGCAACTATAATCATAATATATGTAAATGAACCTAAAATAGTTTCCACTGTCAAAACAGGGCACCTTATTAAAAATTATTAAGGAATATGTTATTCTAGTTCAGCCATTATAGTTTTATATTTCTTAAAATAGTAAATACCAAGTAAAAAATCTTTTTTTTCTTATTTTTTATGTTACATGTTTATAAAACACAAATATAACAACAAATTATTTTTATGTAATTGGTATATTAAATGTTTTATTATAACCAAGACTCATAATAATTAGCATTTTACTTTATTTTTTATAAGTTTTAGGGATGCCTACATAAGTTATAAATTTTTTTCAGAAAATAAATTAACTAAATACAAACATTTATGTTGAATATTTTCCATATTTCAATGTTTTATATTGTGTTTTTAGCGTTATTTCAGTATCTTAATAGAGAAAAATATCAGAGAGATCAAAAAATGTACATTATTATTATTATTATTATTATTATTGTAACAAAAAAAAAAAAACAATCGTGATTTAAGTACGTATTTATTTATAATTAAACAATTAATATATTTAATTAAGTATAAATCCAGCTGACATTCAAATACTTCATCCAGCGTCTACTCTAAAAAATCTAAATTTTTAAAAATTGATTGATATTTTTAAGTTTATCACATTATTTTAAAAGCTTTTCCCAAAAAAGATCTAAATACAGAGTGGCCCAAAGATATTTCTCGCCACTCATACAATTCGGACTTGCCTATCTCTATACGTTACATACTTATACTACATACATATATATGGTACATACTGAGGAAATATTCAAATTATTCAACTAATATCTCACTGAGCTTTAATCTAAGAAAAAAAAAATTCAGATAATATTGTTTGAAAAAATTATTATTTTTTATTTATCGTTTGTCTGATCATTAGGTAACAATTTATGTATAAATGTATTTGAAAGATTTTCATAGTATTTAAAATTTAATTTAGAGATAGTTTACAAAAAGAAAGTAAAATAAAATGTCTTAAATAAAAATTACCAAGCTTTCAGAAATTCCTTAAAAATTCCCAAGCATTAAAGTTTTGTAAATTTTATCTTACTAAAATAATATATAATAATTATTGAAAATAATCATAAAAATATCTACTTAGTATTATCTATTTATTAGGGATAACGGTCAGTCTCCACCTAACCCTTCTACAAGAATTTATTTTTGAATAATCATAATCAACCCCTACTTCTATTAAATAAAGTTAAAATATATCTCTGCGTATAAATATTTCACTAAATATTCTAGAAAATGCTTATATATTTATATCTTTTAATATGAATAATGATAATAAGGAATAATTGCATTTTTGGTCTGTAAACAATAGTAAAGTCAAATAATTTTTCTCACGGTTATGAATGTTTTTAAAGAATTAAATCTGTTGTTTCTTTAATAAATAGCAACATTATTTTGTGGATGCGCTTTGCATTGAACAATACACATATTATAGTGTAAGTATAAAAAACTTAAATCGTGATGATATCCTTCATAGTTTTATACAACGTTGTGCCTATCTTTTGTTCGTTTTTTTCAAGCATACAAAGTGTAATATCTGGACTATAATTTAATACATTTTATACATATTCTGTTATTGAAAGTGTAATAAATAAACACATGAAAACTAAACCCATGCAAATTTTTTAAATAACTTTATTGAGATTAAGATCAGTTATAAGAATTAAATGTAAATATCAAAGAAAAAAAAAATTTTACTTTAATTCATTAAATACATACCAATTTAATACATAGTAATATTATAAATATTTTATTTAAAATTATATTAAATTTTGATTTTCAACTGATATCTGTTCACAAACAGTTAAATATAATTATTAAATTAAAGCGTGAAAATTGATTAAATACTATTGTTTTTTCATAACACGTTTATTTAAAATTAAAATCATTTATCCTAATTAATTTGTGGATTAGTACTAACATTATTTTAATTGCAGTTGGTGCATTAAAGTAATTTGAAATTTATCTTATTAACCAATTAAAATTGTTGTACAAATAACATATTATAATTAGTTTTAGCTTTCCAACTCAATAGTTTAAATAAGTCACATTTTTTCGAGATTTCGATTTCTTTTACTCAATTAATATTTTGAATAATGAGAAATATTGTTTTTCCATATAGTATTTTCAGTAATCGAAATACAACAGAGCCTCACGATTATTTAACCAAACAAAAATATAAGTGCTTGTTGTCTTCCTGTTGCCTGCTGAGGAAAAGGTTAAGAGTAACGTGGTGAAATATAATATCAAAAATATAAACGGACTGAACATAGTGAATATATAATGAACTCAACAATGTGGTCTACCAAATATTTAATAATATATTACTTTTGACGGATTAAATATTGAAAAATTATTTTGACATTTTAACCGTGTTTTGTTTTATCAAACCAACATTAATCTTACCGTGGCTAGAAGCGGAAACCCGTTAAGCCATGCGCCACTCGAAATAAAAAGATGTGCACCAAGCTGATTAAATAATGAACGTATGAGAGATTTAGTATCTAAAAACTTGGATCGAGATTATAATTAAATAGTTTTATTTGTTTGACTAATGTCGTGTGTTCTACTGAACGGTTCGGATGTGATTTGATTTCTATAGTCAAGCTGTACCAAATAAAGACATGTCGAGTTCAAGTAAAAAAATTAGTATTCACAATAATTGTTTTGGAGTGTTATTTTATGAACAAAATTAAAAATTATCGAGGTCCTCAGCTGTTGGGCTGTCAAGACGAAAATTATTTATTTGTCCGCTGTGCGTCCACTAAATCATTACAGTTAACAAGCAAACGCCCCTCGACGTACCTGAAGTGTATAATATTGAATTTGACATGTATATTTTCATTTCTGATTTCGGTTAATAGCTGCAGCTGTACATGTGATCATTGATCCGATAATGTATACATTTTTTTAACTCGCAGCACAATTTATCGAGTGTCATACACTAATCAATAACCAAGCGCTTGTAGAATACCATTATAGACTAAAACTGGTTTGACACGTTTTCTCCAAAACGTACGTAAAAAAATAATGAGTTACTAAAATAATAACACCATAGTATTGCTAAAAATAATTATTATGGACCGAATCTGGTACTGCCGAACGTTGTTAATGAATAATTACAGTTATTAAAACGGTATACTGTTAAAATATGCCTAAATATGTTTGCCATTAATTTCAACACCTAATCAAACGATGGGGCAAATGTAAAGTATGTCGTATACATTTATTACTCCATTGTTTGAAACGCCCTGAAAACGAATTTTAATTGCTTCGCGAAGTCCAAAAACCGTCTCGGAACATTAATAACGATCATTGCGAGCCTCAAAAACGGTAATAACATTTAATAAATCAAAATTCAAAATGTGCCCACTTAATATACCGCGCATTTGAGAAATGTATTTGTTTTTTATACAACCGATATGCCCAAGTCGGTATTTGACGATCCAATCGTTTCACGAACGTACATTGCCATCAATCGGTCGAGTGATGCAATAAAATTTCGGATCAAATAAATTTTCAAATTCTGTAGGCATTGGAAAGCGATTATTTTTTAAAACTTTTACTTGCAAATCTTTCAATTAACAAGAATGATTCGAAAATAAAAAATAATCGTTTCGCAATAATAATATGTTGGACGCCTTCTGCGAACTACTTCATGGGTCGCGTAATTCCAATGACATAATTCGTTACATAATTCATTAAGTGTTTTATCGAATATTTTAATAAAATTTGTTTTCGGCGATCGGGACAACGATTTTTTATAAATTGCGATAAAAAGTTCCGTTGTTTCATTTCGAACCTATTCATCAACATACACTAGCCTAGCCAACTAGTCCCACACACATAAGTACAGTGTACACGCCCTATTTTAGTCGTGTGGATCGAAAGCACTCGTTTTAATCCGGTTTCCCAGTGCCGTACAACAATAGGAGACCATTATCATGATTATCTTGCGGACACCAGTGCCACACTTTACACCGCCACGAATTTATGTGCCTGGTCGTATATAAGTGTACACAAGCTTGTGGTAGAGGAATTCTTGTGCGCCACGATTCGTGTGATAAGGTCGCATTGAGTTTGGCAAAAAGAACACAGTTTTTAGGGCCCAACGGCACCGGTAGTTTTTCTAAATCTGTACACGTTATGCTCAAACGCCGTTTTTCTCTGTGCCACCCGCCTACGCATCGTTCATTCGCATGTGTTTCTTTAAACATGAACAAATATCACACACCTCGTTAGAAAAATATATTTCATGAATAGATATCTCAAGATCAATGCTGACTCGTTCAACGACAGTATAGTATTGGAGAAGTTGTGATTTGCAACAGTTATTTTCTTTAGTCCGTGAGTAGACTTAACGTTTTTTTTACAACTCTACGGGCTTTTATTTTTATCGTTAACCCTTTACAACATTTACAGCCACATTACACAGCTTCGAAAGAGGTATTCAACTTGTTCTAGATCATTTACAACTGAAAGCCAAAGGTTATTGAGTAGTAAAACTACATGACTTGTCATCTCATTATAAATTGAATTCAATTAAAAAGAATAAAATTATATTGAAATTATTATTACCTTTAGTTTAAAAAAAATGTATACATAAAAAAAGACGTTTCGGCGTGATAATAATTACTTAAGATGAAAACAATAATTAGTGACCAGTGGTGCTTTGAAGGGTATTCACTAACAACTTTTTCAATAAACGTATGCCCTAAAAAAGTAATACTTGTGTGCTAGTTATGTAGAAGGGTATACATTTACAAATCAACGTATACCCTAAAATAAAAAAGGGTTTATTGCGAAAACAGCACTGTTACTGACAATTATATTTAAACACACCGTTCTTAAATTTGTAGAGTTTTCAGTACCTACAAAGCACTTGTTTCAACTTGTGTTTAATGTTGATATGACATAGCCTTCCATGTATTCATTAATACAACGATTAAGATAAAAATCACTAGTAAAGTAAAAGAGAATTCAGATAACTTAAATAAAAATTAATATAATTTTGTTTAACCTTCTTATCCACACAGTGATTGAGATCACAACATTTAATTTCATACATACTATTGAGCAAGGTAGCTAAGAATGTCTTATAAATTTTACACAAATTATAATCGAATTTTTATTCTTTCAGAGATTTTTTACTTTTAAGCCGACTAGAAAAAAATGTTTTTAGTGTAATTTTTAGCATACACTGAATGGGAAAACTGTGAATTACATTTTATAGTTTGTAAATATATCAATATAATATACCAATTGTGTAATAAATCGTCATTAATCTATTAGTCTTATTAATAATATTTATTTAAGATTGTTTTCAAAAATTGATTAGGAAAAATTACTGTAGTCAGTTTTGCATAATATACTTTAAGTTTCAACTTATTTCAGCTTTTTTTGTATTATTTTAAAATGTCACTAGTATCAGACTTTTATTGTACAAAAATTTAATATCATATTTTTTTAAGCAATTGATTAATTTAAGTAATTGAGAATTTATTGCACAATTTACTTCGTGACATTTGATTGATTTATAAACGTTTTGGTATTACGATTTCTCAAACGCTCTCCTTGAACTTTCCAGTAATGAAAAGTCATTATTAATAATGACACACTGCAAATTGCAAATAGACTCTACCAAATAAAGGAAATCAATTTATTTTAAACTATTCCAATGCCATTAAAATGCCAATTGTTTAAATTTAATTGCAATTGTAATATTGGTAAATTTTTTTTAAGTAGAGTTATCGATTTAAATAGCACAGAAAATATTTTAATTTTATGATTTATTAAATTGTATAAACTTTTATTAATTATTATAGAAAAGTTTCTTTCGTGATTATTGTTTTTTTCTTATAAATTCTTATAATTTAATAATGACAAATTGCCATTGCATAATTAGACGTTTTCTATAGGAGTCTACTTAACTTTTAGAAAATAAAGTAGTGTGGAGATTTCTACCTCCTGTAATATGATTTTATTTACATTTTATACCCCATGTCCGCCGTAAATACACCACTGCTTAGAAATAACAATATCTAAATTATTGTAGTGAATTTCAATCAATAAATCAACAACAAATGTAACACAATTTGCTTAGAAACACATTATGGTATCAATTGTTAAATAACATGTATAGTACTAAATGTTATTCACATCTAACAAGTAAAGTGAATTACGCACAAAACACTTAGCTTACTAGACAGTAGACTTGTTTAATAAAAATATCAAAAACTGGCGACACATTTTAACAATTTAAAGAATTAGCAAAAAACCATCAACATAAAATATATTTATATAAGCTTGCCTAACAAACGTTCGCATTAGAAAGCTTCATAAAAGTTAATTTTCTAAACATACAAATATATTATACTTTATAAGTAAAAGTTTCAATGGAAAAGTAATGCATTTTTAATGAAAATTAAATATTAATAAAAATATTTCGATTTAAAGATCAAATTATGGTAGTAAAAATTTTATTTTATTTTATTTGCATCCATAAAACTGTATTCATACATCAAGATTAAAATCTCATCTGTTCTACTAGAACAAGTAGTAAAAAATAAGTTTCGTTTTATGTTTATTACTAAAGATGAAGGTAAAAAAATGTCACCCGATAGAAATTTCCTCAAGTTCAAGCAATTTATTAAAAGAAATGTATTGCCTTTAAACCATAATGAGAAATTCCATCAATAATGTTTTAAAAAGTTTCGGATTTTTCACTTGGAATATTGAGGTTGTTGAAGCAACTGTGTATTTCGTATTGACCTAAAGACGACAGGTGAATTTTGGTAGGGTTCAATAAACGATTATAAGCTGTCGACATAAGGACCACATAAAATAATTTTTTTTTAATAAGCTAAATACAACGTACTTAATAAAAGTAATTTTGTTGTCGGGTTATTTTTGGCAACAAGCAACATGTGCAACACACATGATTGAATTATTATTTTTTATATAACGCACACATTCTGTTATTGCTACTCTTGCGGCAAGTTCTATGCGTACGCGGGTCTTATTCTTGCGGTTGTCTGTGTGTGTGACCCGAAGTGGCCGCGCACAGCTGAGAGATTTAACGGAACCAGTTGCACGCCGTGTATGCGAGTGCGAGCGTTTGCTGCGGTTTGAGGGGAAGGCGGAGGAGGAGGTGGAGGAGGAGGAGGAGGAGGTCGCGGCGTCCGCAGCAGCAGCGGTGGAACTAGGTCTTTGGGTAACTGCGATTGGTGGTTGGGTGGGAGGCGGATGGACTCACGGCTGGTTTTCACGTGGCCTCCGCCGCCAAGACGGTCGAGTTACCTGTGTGCGTGCAGTATGTGATTTACGGTCTCGCCGGCCGCTAACTACACGCCGCGCGTCGAAAGTTCCGCCGCACACATACCAAGCCGGTCGCCGTTGAATTTGCCCTTTGCGTGTGCGCGTATTAGGCCGTGTAAGAGCCACCGCAACGGCACCACCGACTCGTTAATGTGTGTTTGCTACCGCCGCTGTGCGTTCGGAGTATTGTTATAAATATTGTTGTTTTGTTGTGCAAAAGGTCATCGCTGCGTCACAAGAGATCCTCGTATTTGGATTACACGAGCTCTACTGGGTCGACGATCATGGTAATTACATTGTTACAATACAATACTATAAGAACAACTGCCTGAGATAGGAACTCAACTGCGACTTCCGCATAACCGTTTAGCGGTTGCAATCGCGGGTTGATGAACTCCTTAATTTTGTTAATAATACCACGCTTAAAAGATTAAAAATCGGACATTGTATTTCATGAACAATCGAAAAAAACTTTCGGCGTCGATATTGATGTAGTTACGTTTTCCCCGTAAATGTTGCATTAGTATAGATGTATACGACCGTTCAAGTCTTTTGTCACTAAAACCGTTGAGACATCAGGACAGTTCAAGTTCTTTTTAAATCCTAAACATTTTTTTTATTGTCTTCACTAACAAACGTATGATACGACTTTGTCGAGAATACTACCATGTTAACATTTAAACGCATGACTAGTCCACGTCCCACGGATATTTTTCACGGCCACTGACATACGGTTTTTGTGATTAAAAAACACTAGGTAGGTCTTAAAAAAAAAAAACTTCGTCGCGTTGTTGTGGTTAAAATAAGAATCTGCTGTCCACTTGAAATACTATAATACACACTTGATCGTACTCTGAGGTGACCAACTAACCCTATAACGGTGGCAATAAACAAAACCTGTTGCGCGTCACATTTAACGCTTGCGTAGTAATTTTGGTCGGCCTTTATTGGTGACCATAATAATACAATGCGATGACGATACTCATAATAATAACAATAAAAAATAGTAAGTCAATCCATAGTAACCGAAAGGTGTTATAGAAAAGAAAAGGTGTACCGCAGTATAACACCTTTGCATTTTCCATTTTTTGATAGATATCTCTCCTTTTAGAATAACTAATTTTTACATGTAAAACTATCTAGCTGTGCTTACTTCTGGGAGATTCTTAAAGTAAAAACAATAAACATAACGCCGGTTTTCTTTTCTTTCTTTAAAAAAGAGATTTAACTATTACATGACCCTGGTTTTTTCTATTGTTTTTTACGATTGTCACTTTACGGTCTTATATACTACGTAGCTAAGGAGCTGCAGCGCCCACGTTCACGTGAAGAAAAAACCATCAACGGCTTTTTTACGATCTCGAGAAATCATGCGATCTAAGTAGTTTACCTGAACTGGACACGGCCCCCCCTATGTCCTACACGGGTTTGTGTATCCAGGTTACAGCCGAATGTGCGCTACCCCCTCGGGGCACCGTTTTCTTCTTGTGTATACATCTACTATTGCACCTCTATAACCTCAACGGAATTTCTCCCTCCGCCCGCCACTGCCAACGGTCTTATTTATATGACACTCGTCGTTGTCGTCTTCATCCTCAACGAGGTTCTTGTATAAATCGTTGTTGTTCATGTTTGTGTATTCGGACGTAAGTTTTTTTAATGACAATGCGGTTTTATTTTTATAGAAACGGCAGCTGTTACAAGAGATTACAGTTATAGTAGCTGTAATAAATATAAAATGAAACAATATTACTGTTACCATAGTAAAAGGTGTCCTTTACGACCGAACTTTTTTTCAATCTTTTCATAACAGTCCAACATTATTATTACTCTAGACACATAAAATGCCGTGCTATTAGATACACTAGGTTTTACTATTTGTGCTAATATATTTTTTGAAAATGATTAATCAAAGCCTTGTATTTACAGTAGAAACAATTGTATTGTGTTAATGTCCATATAATTGATAGCATTATTATAAATAGTTAATTACACAAATCGATACACTAATCAATACAAGTACTCTGTTGAGTACGTTGGTAGTACATGTTCATTATAAATTTACAGTTTTAATTGACGTCGTTAAGTCACGACAACGAACTGAGGGATTCGTTTACGCATAGCTATGTATGAATAATATTTAAAGTATTGTACGAATTAGAGCGTTAATAACCCATGAATTATAGTACCTAAATTATAATACTAATTTCTAACATTAATGGACATAGTAATGATATGTGGTGGTTTCCTGGACGAAATTCCAATGGCATCGGTTTTACTTCGGACAACAGTGACGAGGATCAATGCGAGGTTGTCGCTAAAAAAGTGCTTGTAATTCTAGATTTCCTTAGAAAGAAAGCAGCTAATAATAATTATAGCACTAATTAATCATGATTATGACGTCGTTTAACGGCTTAATCTAATACCCGAAACTACTGTTACGTATTGTTTAAACGACCACAAGAGTTTCAATTCAACGAGATCACTTGTAAATAGTTAAACGCCGAGATTAATCAATCTCTTTACTAGATGGAGTGGTAATATAAATTGGGGAATACCATAATAAACACACGAAAGTCCGTTTATGGTCAAAAACCGATCGGGGCTGTGTCAGCTGAGGAGAAACTCGACCTTTGACACTGTTGAGTGTCTACGATGAAGTCTGAGGTTTATTCATGTTTCGGCTGAGGTCGTTGCCATTTTTTTTCCTCTCTACACGAAATTTCTATACGTGTATCCGCCGGCACACCATAAAACTGCCGAGCATGTAATATTATATAGAAATCGTGCCGTCAAAAAATAATCGTCCACATTTTGACGTGTAGCGGATCCCCCGCGAGAAATTATATGTACATAGACAGATGTAGACTCATCACGGACCCAGGCGAGAGCACTTAATGTCCAACGAAAATATCGTACGCTGTGTGTAATGGTAATGATGATTTCCCTTCTTAATACTCCACATCAGCCACCGGTAAAAAAATTTCATTACTATCGTTACACACTATACTAGTTTACGGGTGTGCTTGTAACTGGCTGCACTGGGGTAGAATAGAAAGTTTGTTGCCTTTGAACGATTCACATCGATAGCGACATTCCACCTGTGCGCTCACGGTATTGGGTCTACATTTATTATAACACGCGGTTGTATTCATATTTTTTATTACTGAAAAACAACAGGTTCTACAAATTATCTCGAGTGCATGTATATTATTACTATGTCCTATGATAGAGTTATTGACGACTACAGAAGGAATAAATTAACAGCATATCATTTATATTATTTAGTATTTCGTTGTACCCCTATGCTTGTTGTACACGAGAAATAACCGCAAAGCGTACGAAACTAGTTTATACATGTCCTGCGAGAAGGGTGTGTGTGAAATAGAGGGGGACAAAATTGTATTTATAAAACAAATGGAGTCCAGTCGTTGTCTCTTCGAAATCTGTGAATATTTTTTGATGACCGATCGTGATGGAAACGACCCACTGAAAACAATGGATTCCGTTCGTGTACCATCTAGGCGTTTTCATTCACTTTAGTCACACACGCCGATGAAGTTATCATAGTTTACCGTCCTCTTAACGATGGAACGCAGCCCTAGGAACAAACAAAAAAATAACTCCATTTCATGTTGGGTCCGTGTAATTCATTTTTCGAAACACGACCACCAATTAAACCCACGAAATTTTCGTATCATTATTTATAAATTATACGTTAAACGCAATATATTATTATAAACGTTTTATTCTTCTACCGGTCGCGTGGAACTAACAACTCCAGCCACGTAAAAATAACGTGAGATGAACCAAAGACTCTACACAGACGATCGTGATTTGCAATGCTTAACGTTTTCGCGATGCTTGCAGATAGTTGTGGTCGGTCAGACAAACAATTTGCTACATGAATATACTCCACGTGCAAAATTTTATCATCGCTGTGCTGGTGGTGAACCAATGGATTCACGTTCTTATGATTGTGTAACTATATAAATATATATGAACAGAAGTTCATCAGATTTTGACTGATAGCTAACGACTTTGGGGGAAGAAAATAATTGGTTGTCAGTTTCTACAAAATTTATATGCACTCTAAATGCGGCACTTGAGGAACTATAAAGTCTTGGAAATTTCGAAACAGATAGTACTGATCTCACGTCTTGCGTGATTTAATTTTTAGTTTTACAAAAAAAAGTAGTAAGACGTGAACAAGATTTCTTGACATAATTAAGAGTTAGTACGTAAAAAATTGTATTCGTTTTTGATAAAAAAATGTCCTCGGGTCATAAATTTGAGACGTGAAACTAATGACTCGACGGTAAATTCAAATACTAATATTTTGTCTTAACAAAATTTTTAAGTACCGTTTAATATTAACTTCGATTTTAAGTTTCTCTTTTAGTAGTTGCTGCAGTCGAGTGCAATAAAAATCCAATGTAGATTAGTTCCATGCTTTCACTAAATGAATAAACAATTAATTTCCCCAAAAAAAGGTTACACACTTCCTTATTCATACATACCTTTGTTCGTGCAGTTAATTAAAGCAAAAAATTATGAATAATATATTATTAAATCAACAGCCGATCAAATTTACCTGTCCAGGATATAAGATGTTATAACATACAGACAGGTTATGTATTTATATAAAATCTTAATTTATTAACAGCATTCATTACTTTAACTCGTAGCCATTTGATTGTATTTCAGTATTTTTAATCGACCGTTAAAGTTTACTTGGTATAATTAATTTAAGTAATAACGGTTGTGAATAAAAATTAGTAAATAAGATATGATCGACCTTACCATGGTTGATTTTTTAAAATGTTTAACGGTTTTTCTTTTATTTGCTGTCAAAAAGATAAATCATAAAAAAATATTCACAAGAACTTTTCTATTTTACGCATTCGAGTGTTGTTTACAGACCACGTCTGTCAATGACGCGACGCACTCGGAGAGTTTAACGCCCGTTACTTACAAGACACGAGTACGTTACCGAGATAAAAATATTAAAATATTATAAAAACGATTTTAATTAATTACTACTTTTCTAGGAAGTTATTTACGATATAATTATAGAGTTTAATTTTTTTAAATTATATTTCTAGTATGCAATTCACGCGTTTCTAACAATTTCCTCGTCGTAGACCTTTTATTATATTAGTTTTATTATACGATTTATAAATTATCGTATTACGCTCATTGTTGAATTCAGAATTTTCTTCGACAGAGGCTCCAAGTATTGGTGAAAGCAGAACTTTTTTTCTTCTATATTTTAATAAAATTATTT